AGGCCCTCCCCTACCTAGTTCCCTATGCCATACAGGCCCTCCCCTACCTAGTTCCCTATGCCATACAGGCCCTCCCCTACCTAGTTCCCTATGCTGTACAGGCCCTCCCCTACCTAGTTCCCTATGCCATACAGGCTCTCCCCTACCAGAGGACATAGTTAGCAGCCAGGCTTTGGATAATTGGTTAGAAGGTGGACAATGATGTTCTTATAAATGCTGTCTGTCATTGATTTCCTTCTGATAGTGCCCAATGCAGTGCAAAACCTCAAAGTCAGCACGAAATCTATCAGTTCTGTGATGCTTGAATGGGAGAGCCCTGTTGGTGCCCAGTCATATTTTGCATACAGAGTCAATATCAACTCAAACGGCTCTGTAAGAAGTCAAATAACATCAATGAACCAAACCAACATCACAGACCTCAAGCCAGGCACTAAGTACAACTGCTCTGTTACTACGCTTGTCGTAAATGACACATATGGCACCCCCTTATTCACGTTTTGCCAGACAAGTAAGTAACACAGCCTTTACGATACATTTCATTGTGCCTCTGTGAAAATAAAATTATAATTTGGTAACTTTTCTTCTGCTACAGAACCCATGCCAGTTTACAATCTTTCAGCTATAGCTGTTAACACCACGGCTGTGAGTTTAATGTGGTCCAGTTCAGATTAGATTTACCTATTATCTCATCTTCAACCCACGGGACCAGACTATGATCCAGACAAACAAGAGCATCAACATCTCAGACCTCACACCTGGCACCAATTACACTATTGGGGTTAAAGCAGTTGTGAATGGGGTTGGGTCTGATCCAACCACTGTCTCTATTTTCACAAGTATTGTTACCATATTATTATACATATTTTGACCTTTCTAAAGCCATGTCAGTGTTTTTTAATGGCCATTGCCATCTTTCTTACTTTTTAGAACCAGAGAAGGCAAAGAACGTAACAGTTATCGGAACAACAACCAGTCTGACCATGATGTGGGACAGGCCTGAAGGAACTGTGACATCCTACATCATTGACATCTACAATGGAAGCTCACTAGCGGCCAGTCAGACAGTATTTAACAATTCGGCTGTATTTGCTAACCTGAAGCCAGGGACGCTCTACAGCGTCACACTCAACACGCTCAGTGGACCTTTACAAGGGGAACCACAGATGATTAATTGTTCAACCTGTGAGTTGCTGAGCCGTCATTCAATCTCTGCAGTATCAGTAGCATTTGCCATATTTTTTTGGATTCCTGGGGAGTTTTGGTAGATTTTAATATTTACAACTTGACCATTCCTTGATTAAAAGGTCAAGAGCTCCTTTATAATCACTGCAACTTCATACTGGATATCAGTATAGGAGATGGACTGATGGATGGATGTGTAGAAGAATAGATAATCTGATTGTAACGTGTCAGACTGTAAATGCAAGAATAACTGCAGACTCAAAATAGCATATGAATTTTCTGTATGTGCTACACATTTGGGATTTTGCCTGTTTGAGTGCTAGGCATTATATTATATTATATTATTATATTATATTATATTATATTATATTATATATACAACAAAGGCAATGCTCAAGCTTTCTTAATATACCCATTTTTTTGCTATATGATGTGTGAGTGCATTGTATTTTTCATGCTGTTTTTGAAATCCAGATAATCCTGTAAACTTCATTATATTAACATATTACTATAGATCCCAATCCACCCAGTTTCATCAAAGCTGAAGGTGCAACGACAAGTTCCATTAACATCAGCTGGGGCAGGCCCTCTGACATGGACGGGGACCAGTATACATATATTGTTTCCTACCAGGGCAATGAAATTGCCTCCAATGACACCTGTTTCATGCTGGGAAATCTGACATCAGGGACGCACTACAATATCTCTGTGCTAACGGTTGGACCAATGAGCTACAAGAGCAAGCCACAGACTGTGTTAAGCTGTACAAGTGAGTGTCACAGGCTAGACACTTGTTTTATGGTTATTGCTGATTAGTGTGCAATATTCTCACTGTAATTACTTAACTGTAACAAGGGTAGCCAATTAGATATTTAACATTTGTATGGGCTTACAATATGGAAGAAATTAAAAGTTCTATTATTTCTTCCTCCAAGGAGTCAGCTCTGTGAAAAAGCTGCAAGCAACAGAGATTACAACTTCTAATGTGACACTGGTTTGGGAGTCTCCCAATTCTGGGAAGAGTTATGAGTACTTTGTAGCAACAAAGTCCCTAACCCAAGTGACCAACTTCACTGTGAACAGAACAGATGCCAGCATCAGAAGCCTTCAGTCTGGTAGCAATTATACGTTTGATGTCACAGTTACGCTGCAGGGTGTTTGTGAATCTGCTGCCGAATCCATCTCGCTATTCACAAGTGAGTTTATTGAAATACTCTGCATTTTCCAGCAGTAATAGATTAAATTCATAGTAGTACTTTTCAGCTTTTTGAATTCAATAAATTGTCAAAATGTATGCCAACATCAGAATTAAACTTGTTTTTCAGGACCATATCCCATTGTTGACTTGAAGTCTGAGGCAATTAATGAATCGGTGGTGTATTTGAACTGGACCAGACCACAGGAATACCAAGACAGCTACACTTACACAGTTCAGATTTCGGGGTGCACGTCTAATACGAAGAATCAGTCAGTGCAGCAAGAACAGGCCTACATTTATGATCTGATTCCAGGGACCAACTGCTTCCTCCTTATTTACAGCAGGGCGTCAAATGGCATTGAAGGATGGCCACTCTCCACATCTCAATACACAAGTATGCATCTTCTCCCTTTATTTGTTTGTTACTGGTCTGAAAACACAGGATCACACAAGATGCCTGCTTTGAATTTTTCCAGCCTATGAGTCAAGGCCTTGAGGGGAATTTTACGTTTTCTTTCACTTCCTGCTCAGCAGAGAGCACGCCTGAGTGTCTTTCCATGATGTATGTCTTCATTTCAGTTATTCTTTATCACACACAGAGCCTGAAAAGGTATTGCCAGCGGTGTCAAATGGACATAAAAATGATTCCATTAATGTGACCTGGGGTCCTACAAGGGGCAACATAGAGAAATATGTGGTCACCCTATATAATCCTCAAGGACCAAACTCGATGCAGGAACTAAACAACACTGCTCAATCCTATCTGTTCGTTAACCTGAAAGCAGGACGTATGTACACAGTCACAGTGAGAACAAGCAGTGGGCCCTTTGCAGAGGAATCACTGGCAGTGTCAGTCGCAACCTGTAAGTATCCAGCAGTGATCTGCAGTGTCCATCAGTCATTTGGAGACACCAGACATTGATTTCTGAGCATAGAAATGGTCAAAGATTTATTGGTAACACTTCACTTGAAGGGGCGCAAATAATATAATATTAAGCTATTACTTAGGTATTAATTAACCACAAACTAAGTCTTTTGTTGCATTCCATTTGAACTTGGAATTCGGAATTTTTGAGATCCTAGTTGGATCTCAGAAATTGGTTGTACAGACAGTACTGTCCAACCACTATCTGTGGACATGTAAAATACAGAGTAATGTACTGATATCAACTAATAATGCTAACAATGGCTAACACCGTACCTGGCTAGAACTGGGGCATGTTTCATAAAGCAAGATTTCCTGCTTAGCTGGATAATTGTCAGATTTAATGTAGTCTGGGCTAAATGTAAGTGAACAAAGACGAAGGCCATTTAAACTGGGGTACCATAAATCTGACAAGTTTTCCGGCTAAGCAAGAAATCCAGCTGTTATTGCTAAATGGCTCTCTAATTTTTTGCACTGGAATGCAGTTAGCTCGAGTGGGACGTCATTCCTAGCTCCCACTTCCATCCTCCAAGGTAAATGGAACGCAGCACTACATGCTGATCTCATGCTTATCTCAAGCAGTCACTGTATTTGTTACTGTATCTGTTAATTCTGCCAGCCTTTGTGAACAACTGAAGGAACTGCTGAAGGAACAAGTAACGATTAACATAAGTGTTATACTGATATACCGATCTCATGTTTCTTCATTGTTAATAAATCGACACATCTTTTATCTCAAGTAGACACGAGTATTTGTTCATGATTTACCAAATATTTGTGCCCCCTCAAGTAAAGTGTCACTAAATGAATGCTTCTAATTTCTTATAAATATTAAGTGTCAGAGTTAATATTCAAAATACATTAGTAGCAGGCATTTACTCCAACAGATATCATTGCTGAAATGACATTGTTACTCTTACAGATCCAAACAAACCTGGAGATATCACAATAGCAGACAAGAATACTAGCTCAATTGCTTTAGCATGGAGCAGTCCGCTGGACAGTGACGGTTCTACTAACTATTACATGGTGAAATATCAGTCTGCTGTGTACAACCACACAATTAAAACCAATACAAGCAGCAGTGTCCTGAACAGACTGGCTTCCGGAACCTCGTACAATATCTCTGTGGCTACTGTAGGACCAGAGGAGCTCGAGAGTGCACCAGTTACGGTGGACTTGGTCACAACCAGTACGTGTTCATTGGTAACTCAGAGAACAGTAGAATAAATCCAGAAAGCTGGATGCATCATATTTATAAATTATTTTTATTTATTTTATTTTTTTTTGGGGGGGGGGGGCTGACTTCTGTTACTGTGGTTTTTAAATATCAAAAGTTTTATTCAATCCAATGTAACAATTCCACATTTTCTGGTCTCATATTAGATTAGGGATATATTGCAGGGTTTAGCAGACCCAGACATTGCAGTGGCAGGGATGAGATGAGGCGAGATGATTTCAAACAAGATGGTCCTTCAACTGGAGCCCTTAAAGGGACTGCACACAAATAACAACCACACTCCAACACATATACTGTAACAGCGAAGCACATGGAGGTCTGATACTGGACTGTAAGGCACACACACAGTAACTATTACACAGGGGGCACGGAGACACGCGAGTAACTGGCACAGATCAGGGCACAAACAGGCAAACACACTTACATACACAGCACAAGTATCTACAAGAGCAAATACACACAGGGGCTATTTACACTCCTCACAAGCATATCGGCAAATGCAAATGGCCCCCGTTACGCGAGGAAATCTCACTATAATCTCAGCCATCTTAATTTTATCTATTGATTGTAAAAGATATATAAAATGAGACAGGGAGGTAATCACTCTTTTATAATAATTTTCTTGGTTTAAATAGGACCAGAGAAAGTTCAATCACTGGAAATACAGTCTGTGTTTCTTGAAGAGGTCATGCTCAAATGGAGTCCCCCGTCTGATTTTAAAAATGGGTACTACTACGGAGTGATTACAAGCCGCACAGATTATGTGATCAAAAAAACAACGCCCAATAAGACTTATAAGGCAGTCGATCTATTGCCTGGAACTGAGTATAATTTCAGTGTAATGACGCTGACACTGGATGGGACAGAGTCCTCACATGCAATGGTGTCCTCCTGTACAGGTGAGTGCCCTCCTTGTTTTAGCAAAGTTAGCGAAATGGGTGATTCACATTCTTGGGATATACACAAAGTATCCATGAAATGTGAGCTTCAAAGTCAATATAGCTTTCTTGAAGCAATAACGTTTCATTGTTAATGCCGGCCTTCCAATGCAGCTTGGTGGTTGATTGGTAGTTCTGTTGCCCCTTACCATCAGGAATGTGGGTTCTTGCCCTTAACAGTGTGTGATTTTGTACGTTGTCTACAGTATGTTGTATGGGGGGCCAGCTGGGGTCTCCTTTGTGAGTGAATGTGTGCCCTGCTGTGGTCTGGAATCTGCTCCTAGCTTTGGTCCAGGCTCCCCATAAATCTGCTGCATAAGCAGGCATAAGTCATGGATGGATGTTCATTTTCTATTAGTTTGCTGTTATTCCCGTATTTCACAGATGCAGCTCCAGTCACAAACATCAGCTGTCAGGGCCCAGACCTCACTCCGGCTCTCACAGTGCAGTGGAGCAGTCCCAAAGGCTTAAACAAAGGCTTTGAAATAAACATAACAGATAAACCCAAGGAGACTCTTCCAACTTGTACTTCCGAATGTGTGCACACCCTAAAAAATCTGTCTTACAACACAAAGTACACGGTGAACATCCTAACTCGTGGGTGTGGGAATAGCAGCCCCATCACAGCTTTATCCTGTAAGACAGGAATCACAGGTATGCACTCATTTATTCAAACTTCGTATCCCTGTAAGGAAAAACTGATTACATTATTTTACCCATGAAAGTGCATCTCTGTAAGTTGCGCGACATTTCCTTATATGAATGTGATACATTTCTGCCTTCATCAGCTTGCAAGTTATATGATGTAGGTGTTCTCAAACTTTGACTATTCTTTTTTTTTTTCCCAAGTTCCATTGATACCAGATATAAAGGGCTATATCGAAGTTACTGATGTGGAGCATGATCGATTTACTTTGAAACTGAACCCTGGGCTCTTTAGTGACAGTGAAGGACCCATTGTCAGTTATGGTGTACTTGTTACATCTAGTGTGAGCAGTACGTTTTAAGTTTAAGTCATTTATTTTATTAATATATTAATCCTTCATTTTTATTCCTAAGTGATACCATGTCATTTCTTTGCTTCAGGTATTATTGGTGGAAACTCATCCTCTTTTAAAAAGTACCTAAGCAACACATATGAAGCCTGGAATACTGGAAATGAAGCAGCTTATCTAGCGACCCTTAAAGGAGACAAGGAAACATATCAAGGAGGCATAACTTCAATTGTCATCGGTGACAACACCGAATGGGGGACATATATTAATGGGCCACTTAAACCCAAGGGAAGCTACAGGTAAATATGATCATATCTTACCATAGTATACAAAATAAAATCTAGTGAGTATAGGGAGGACGATTGCCAGATAAAGAACAGCAATAACCCAACACTGAAACAATCTCACTATGCTTTACAGGTTTGCCATCGTTATGTTTACTCGACTGGAGAAAAATGGTGAATTTATAGATATTTCAAAATCCTATGTCTCAATATCACCTTTTTATGAGACAGAAATAAATCTTCCAGAAAATCCAGGTACAGAGTGCAAGTCATTGTCTTGCTCTACTGTATGTTACATAAACCCCAACTTTAATATCAAAGTGCCTCTACTACAACTTGAACTAATCTCACTCTCTTTTCTCAGTTGTTGTCACATCCATAGTTATGTCTATAGTATCTATACTCCTACTTATCAGCATTTTTATCATTGGTGCAGTTTCATTTAAAAGGTAAAGGCACATTATTTATTCACATCCATTGCAATCACAAATTATAAAGAATTAATAAATACAATTTATCGTTTTTTGGGCAGACGTAAGAGACCAGAACCTTCAGAAGTCCCCATTCTTTCAATGAGGTGATGTAATGTTTATCCAGCACTGTGTTTTTCTCATAATATTTCCTAAATCATTGTATATTTTTTCAGTGGGTACATTTATCAAAATATATAGATACATCTTACATCAGCTGCTAGATATCTGTTAAAGTTGTCTTCTCAATGGTTAGATAATAGTTATGCTGCATAAATCTGTCAACCATTGTACACAAAAATATATTTTGTTTTAATGGACATGCAAAAATTTAATATGCACTATTAACATATTTGTTCATTATTTTCTTTTCAGTGAAAAAGCGTAAGTAAAAATCAATTTATTGTTGACCCATGCATTTGTGTGCATATTATTATCGTATTATATTGGTGCCGCTCCACTCCTGCAGAGCCAGTGCATGGAGATGGCATTTTCTCTCTGTGTCACATGGCACAAATTAGGTGAACTGGCATTTCTAAAATGCGCATACTGCCCCCTGAAGGCAAAACACTGTAACTATGCTAAACTCAGAAAAGGGGCATTTGTAGTTTTTTGACTGTCCACTCATATCTGTAATAGGCAAAATCAAGCATAGCTGAAATAAGGTATTTTGTCCAAGATTTTGGTCATAACGGTATTCTGGTAAAATATGCAATTATGTTGTTTTGCCCTTGTGTGCTAACATAGTGTGTCAGTGTGTGTCCACTGTGATGGGCTGTCACCCCAGCTAGGGTGCCCCCCCCACCTTGTGCTGCCTGGGATAGGCTTTAGGTCCTACAGAGATCCTACATTATGTAAGCAGTTGGATGATGGATGGATGGATGGATTAATGCACCTTGTCTTTGATCTTGCAGTAGTGTTCCCATTAAAGTGGAGGATTTTAAAGATTACTTCAGAAAGCAACAAACAAATTCTAACTGTGGATTTGCAAAAGAATTTGAGGTAATTTGATTGTGCTTACAAAATATTTTATTTCAAATCTAAATCAGTAGTTTCTTCTAACAAGAGGTGAAGATGCAGCAAAAATGTATACCTCTGTCCTCTTCTCCCATTGGCTTGCAGAACCTGAAATCTGTGGGCATATCTCAAGCTAAGAGCAGCGGCTTGGCTCTGGAGAACAAAGGGAAGAACCGATACAACAATGTCCTGCCGTGTGAGTCAGCTTCTCTATAATTGCAGTTTCTTTCCACCTCCTGTTGTTGTACAGTTTGCTAACAGGCACATGCATTGTATTTGGAACTGCTTGAAAAATATATATTTTTTTTTATTAATTCCCATTTGTAGATGATTCTTCAAGAGTAAAGCTGTCCATCCAAGGATCGCCATTTGATGATTACATCAACGCCAACTATATTCCAGTATGTATTACTACAGAATTAAAGTTAGTTATGGCCACCAGAGGAGATTTTTTTTATTCATTATATTCTTTATTTATTTATTATTCCTCATGACAGGCTAGGTTTATCATCATTGTTGTTTGTTTATATTTTCTCACAGGGGTACAATTCCAGGAAGGAGTTCATTGCAGCACAGGGTCCATTAGCCAGTACTGTGAATGAGTTCTGGAGGATGATCTGGGAGAAAAATGTGAGCACGCTGGTGATGCTGACTAGGTGCAATGAGCAGGGCCGGGTGAGTTGCATTGGGAGGGGGGGGGTCACAGGCATTATTACATCACAGAGACTCAAACCAATACGCAATTTCCTTAGGTAAAATGTGAGGAATACTGGCCTTCAGGAACCAAGCATTTCAGCAATATAACTGTGACATCAACATCTGAAATAGTTCTAGATGACTGGACAATAAGAGACTTCACTGTCAAGAATGTAAGTATTAAGGCTGCTAACATTATTGGTAATGGGTATGTATTTGGTTTGCTTTCAGTAATTCTCCAGTAATTAATTACCCTCAACCCCCCCGACCTCCCCTCTCGCTTTCAGGTGAAAACTGCAGAAAAACGACCTCTGCGGCAATTCCACTTCACAGCCTGGCCGGACCACGGCGTCCCAGGGACCACGGAGCTGCTGATCACCTTCAGGCACCTCGTGAGAGACCACATGGACCAGTTCTCGCGCAATTCCCCCTCCGTGGTGCACTGCAGGTGAGGCTGAGCCCAGCGGGGCATGTCCGCCCTTGGCACCACTCTCACTCTCGTCACTGCGATGGCAGTGATTGTCACAGTACTCTGATTCTGTGTTAAGTGCTCTGGGAAAAGCAGAATCTAAAAAGGCACTATCTAAGAATAAACTGAATTGAATTCTCAAAGATTTCATGGCTCCCCCAGGTCCTATTCATTTCTTACGGATGCCACCCAAAACTAGGCCCTTTCTGTTACCAAGACCAGGAAGTTCCATAGTCTAACCCATTCTTCTCATTCATTCATGCACAAGAATAGGTTATATATGCCTGTGCCACAGAATGTTGGAAATGTTTTCTCGGGTGACAGTGCGGGAGTGGGACGAACTGGAACCTTCATCGCCATTGACCGCCTGATCTTCCAAATCGAGCGGGACAACGAGGTGGATGTGCATGGAATTGTCCATGATCTCCGCATGCACCGGCCACTCATGGTCCAGACTGAGGTAAGCCCAGCTAATGGCCTGCCTGCGTATTTTAAAATGGTTACATATGCTTGCAGGTTGATAGCAGGTATTCTCTTTATGGATTTCATGGTCAAAACCGATATGTAGCCACATTTAACCCTGAGTCTGCTTTATCTTTTCAGGATCAGTACGTGTTCTTAAATCAGTGTGCCATGGACATCATCAGATCAAGAAGTGGAACCAATGTAGACTTGATATATGAGAACACAGCTGCAGTCTCTATTTATGAGAACTTTCAGCCTATGAAAAAATCGAAAAATGGTTACCACCGTACTTAGGAAAATCTTTGTTCATCTTTCTAATGCTGGATTTATGTTCTTGTTGTTTATTTATAGAAAGTGCCTGTCATTTTCACATACAGCTGAGGAAAAAATTAAGAGACCACAGCTGAAACAGTTTTGTTTCGCTCATTTCTCAATTTATGGGTATGTGTTTGTGAATAATATGCATTTTTTTTGCAAACCGCAGCCTGGTTCTTCTCTGTTTCTCATTGATGAAGGGCTCCTTCCTTGCTTTATGGGACTTCAGTCCTGCTTCTAGGAGCCTGACATGAGCTGTCCTAGCAGTGCACTTCACACCTGCACTTAATGTCGGATAAGTTAACGGTCATCTCTGGCATTAGAAGGTCATTTCCACCCTTTACCTGACTGGCTTCTGCTCGTTCCCAGTGTCTCCTGCTTCACTTTGTTCTTGTGTGCTGCTGTCTTAGAAATTTTGAACCTGGAAGCAACCTGCTGCTCAGCATAGCCTTCTGCCAGCAGGATTAAACCAGGATTTAAAAATGCAGATTTATTTCAAAATACAAAGGGGTCTCTTAATTTTTTCCACGACTGTATGTAGAGGGTGATGACAGCCCTGCAGACAAGAAATTCCTGATTTATAAAAATAATAATAGTTACTTTAGTTGCTTGTTGTACATAGATGTACAGTACATAGTACTAAAAATGGCTTATGGTCTAAGATGTGCAATATCTGAACATTACAACATATACTGAAAAAAATGGGAAAAAAAAAACATTAGCAAAATTTTACTTGCAAAATAAATTGAACTCAGGACTCAGAACTTTGATGTTTCATTTCAGTTGAATGTTTTGCCTCTGTTTAATAGAAAATAATACTGTAAAGTAGTTTAATCCACTCTTTCTCATATACTTGTCACGTCCTGCATGCCTGATCTTCCTGCCTCCTCTCTAACTTGTCCATGGTGAGCCACGCCTGTTGCTTGTTACCCCCGTTAGTCCTCGTATTTAAGTACCTGTTTGTCCTATCAACCCCAGTCTGGTCATAAATGTTGCTCCTCCTGTCTCCCTGTGTTCTTCCCAGGACCAGTCCTACCATTTTGGCCCCTCATGGTCCTGTTGGTTTCCTAACCCCTGTTCAGTTCTGTTCAGTTTTGACTTGATTAAAATCCCATTTTGTTCACATAAATGCCTGCCTTTCAATCCTTCATCCTGTGCTTCATGAGAGTAATGCATAGTGATAATTTTTTTCGAGTTCAAGGCTATTTGCATTTGTGAGTCTCAAGCTTATGAAATATATTATGAAGTAACAAAATAATCAGGGTTTGTAAATGTTTTGTAAATATAAATTTGGGAGGAGCTCAAATGGTCTTTTTTCATTAAATAAGAGGGACTTTTGCATTTTTGTATCTCATAAACGAATATAACGGTGACCAGAATACTCAGCTTTAATTGTGCTTTGGTTAAGCTTCATGGTCAACGCCTTACACAAGTGACAACATTGTAACTGTGATTATTTTAAATGTGTTTTTATCACAAGTTTGCCTGGCTATATTTATGCAGACAACCCTTGTAAAAATCTGAGTGGTTGTTTCAGTTCAAAATCGTTTAATGGCCTTATGGAAGTTTTTGGCTATATCGTTGTGAGAATAGAAAATTATTACCATCACATTTGTATATGTTATGTATGAAAATGTGCACTGAGATTCCTGACTACTCTTCCTAAACCTTATTATGCAAAAGCTATCAGCACTGTGTATGTTTTTTAGCAATAGTCTGCTTAAATTACGAGGCAGACTGTGAATGTGAAGGTATGCTAAAATCTATCTCATATTGGCCAGTAGATTTATAATTTTCCTGGAAAATGTGCAGTAGTTTTAGGTCAATAGTTAAGAACATTGTTTAAAATGAAACTGTGGTTAAAACTGAAGTGCAAAGTATATAACATCAGTGGACAAACTGTTATAGATCTAGATACTGGAATTTAAACAACAGTGTCATGATATGTTAGTGCTGGAAAACAAATATTTTAAAAGAAATCCATTATTTTTTTATGGTTTTATCTGTAAATTTTGCATTTGTCCAGTTATATGTTGAATTGGTATAATAGAAAATTAAATTAATTGGAAAAGTGTCCTGAAATGGTTAATTGTCAGGATCGGTCCCATGAGTTTTGACACCAATTGGCCAGCAGGTGTTGCTGGTCAACCTGTTAATGTTTGTTGGTTTTGTGTTCTCCCACTTCAGTAATAGTTTCGGTATTTCAGTCACAATTCCTTGTTTTTGCTCCTTGTTCCTTGTTCATTTGGTTGTCCTAGTTTTGGTTTTCCATAGTGTTTGGTCCTTTTTTCTGTTAATTGACCTTTCTGTGCCTGTTAATTGTAACTACCCCACCTGTTCCTTATTGCCCTGTGCTCTTAATGATCAATTGATTTGTAATGGTTCTCACCTGCCCCCAGTCTAGGCTTTTTAGTAATGTATTTAAGTGCCTGTTCTTGTACTGTTCCTTGTTGGTTCATTGTGGTTGTTTCCTTGTGTAGCTATGTGTTTGTTAATTGTTGCATGATAGTTATTCCCTGTTAGTTATTATAGTTTTCCAATGTTCATCCTTGCCTTTAGTTCCTGGTGTTGCTCCCTCCCTTAATTTATGTTTTTCCTGTTTTGTTTTGACCCCTCGTGGTCCTTATGTTTTATGGTTTTCCCTTTTTGCTTGTTTAGTTAAATAAACCCTGATTTATTGAAGCTGCTGTGTGGATTGTCCTTCCTCCGTCATGGCACATCATAACAATTAATAGTAATACCATGTCACACTATTGGATAAATGGTTAGAAAATGGATGGATGGATGGATAATCCAGTTATGGAGTCATGGTACTGTGCTTCAAGAATTAGTTATAAAACCATTGAAAACAAGGACCTGATTAATGATTAAATTTGAAATATTTACTGTAACAATTTACCAATGATGTTAGTAAATTTTTGCCAATAGTCCCCAAAGCCATGGGTTATTTAACTATGTACCCCATTTCTATTTATGGATCCTACACAAAGCACCACAGCTATGTAGTCCTAAGGCATAGGCATTGTTCTACTGTAAAAGCTGTGTCTTCCTTTTTTCTTACTGCTTCTGATAGGTTCTTCCTTGTTATAAATATTCTTTGGCAAATTAATTTTCATGTCAATTTGATTTACGTAGAACTATATTCATAACTGTATATTGTAATGAATTTCCTTTATGTTTGACAACAGTATATATGCATCGTTTTTTTTTTTACATGGGTGGTATGTTGGCTCAGTAAGTATCACACCCCATTGAATACTGAGGTTTGAATCCCCCCCCCCTCCACCCTGTGTGTGGAGTTTACATGCACCCTTCCACCTCCGTCACATGGGCTTGCTACAGGTACTCTGGTTTAGACCCATAGTGAAAGATATCTTCGGCTAATTGGCATCTTTAAAATGCCCATACCATGTGCATTTACACTCTGATGAACTGGCATCATGTCCAGGATGTACCCCAGCCTGTGCCCTCTGTTGGACTGGCATCATGTTCAGTGTATACCCAAGCCCTGTGCCCTGTAATGGGCTGGCATCATCTCCAGGGTGTACCCCAGCCCTGTGCCCTGTGGACAGGCATCATGTCCAGGGTGTACCCCAGCCCTGTGCCCTGTGGACAGGCATCATGTCCAGGGTGTACCCCAGCCTTGTGCTCTGGATAGGCTCCAGGCTCCCATACAAAGATGGCCAGGATAAGTGGTTGGAAGATGGGTGAATGAATGGATATTTTATAATTCTAAAGTCATAAATATTTAGTATTTTGGCGCCAGGCTGACCGACGTAGCGTGATGGCGGCGGTGAACAGACACAAGGAGGTGCGGATTTTCACGCAGATGCTCTTTCTGTACAGTCCTGAAAAGGACTGCACACAACGCAACAATATACAGAGACACATAATGAAATAGAAACACGGGGAAGTTACACTAAGGACAGTAAGGCACACACACAGTGGGTAATTATACATTGACAAAGATACGTCAGGATCAGGCAAGGACCAAGTACAAACACACGTGAAGGTACAAGCAACACCCGGGTACACAGCACAACAAGTATCTATGCTAATTACACACTGGGGCTAGTTACAAACTGCAATCAAGCTATCTGTGCTTAAAATATATAGTGCTCACATAGACATAACATTACGGTATCATCTCTCGTTTAGAAAAATAACAGACTCTAAGCCAGGGGTGGGCAGTCTTATCCACAAAGGGCTGGTGTGTAAGTGGGTTTTTGCTGCAACTCCCTAATTAGATTACTAATTAGAGGACTGATTGGCTGAAGAATCCTCACACCTGGGTTTGAACAGCTGACCTACAGGTTATCTGAAAAACCTGAATACACACCGGCCCCTAGTGGATAAGATTGCCCACCCCTGCTCTAAGCGATCACAAAAAAGAAAAATGTACGAAGTATAGGATGTACTTACATGCAAGTAATTTCTTACTTTTCCTTAATGTATAAACAAGTCATGTAGCATCAGAAAGGCAAGGTACAAGGCTATTTTCAGACAAAATTCAACTCTAACTGTACCATTTCCAAGAAAATGAACTTTAAAATCCATGTTATTGTATGATATGAGTCCAGTTTGACAGGCCATTTCTCAGAATTTTCCCTTAAGGTATAAACATCTATTGTACCTTCTCAAAGGCAAGGTCCTAGTGTCTCAATGTGGACTGGGGAAGCAGGAGCGGGGAGACGGAGAATCAGGGAATACGGGGTTTATTAGGAAGCAATCCTTTCAAGGGCATAGGAAGCACATAATGTCAATGACCAGACTGGGGAAACATACTGGAACGCAGACTGAAATACACAGGACTAATGGCAGGAAATAAGGAACAGCTGGTAAACGTAGGGATTCCACACGAGGTTAACAAGGGGGTATGGCACACAGGAGGATCGGACAAGCCGGGCATGACAGAACCCCCCCCCCCCCAAAGGCACGCACACCGGGTGCACCTAAGGGGAGCGAAGGAACGAGACTGGGGACACAGGACCTGGAAAACAAAACAAGACCATTAACAGGGTACCGGTAACAGGACGGACACACAGAACAAGCACAGGCAACAACCAACACACCAACTGACAAAGCACAGGAAGAGCAGACAGGTACAGGGGCACCGAGAGAGGAGAGACAGAGGGAACACCAACGGGAGGAACGAAGGGACCCGCAGTGAACAAAGGTGACACAGAGGGACATGGAGCAGACACCGGGGGCATAAAACCAGGGAAAACACATGGAGCTGGAGAGAACCCCAGCAGGTGAAACGCAGAAGCTGTAGGGACTACGGGCGACCGCGAGGTCAGAGCAGGAGGGACCCTAGGCAACCGCGAGGCCAGAGCCGGAGGGGACGCCGAAGGGGGTGAGGAGGAAGACGGAGGGACCGATGGAGGGGACACCGGAGAAGGCGAGGAGGGAGACGGAGGGGACACCGGAGGAGGGGAGGAGGAAGCAGAAGCCGCAGCAGGTGAAGGCGCAGCCACAGCCAGAGTAGGCAGAGGCGACCGATGAGTCGTAGCAGGGGTACCAGCAGGTGACCGACGAGTCGAGAGAAGGAGAACCAGCAGGTGACCGACAAGGTGCCGGAGGAGGGAATTGCAGGCGACTATCGAGCTGGAGCCAGGGGAACATTAGGTGACCGCTGAGCTGGAACTAGGGGACCCACAGGCAACTGCCGAGCCAGCACCAGGAGGACCAAAGACGAGCCAGGGGGTAGGGCGGGTGGGACATGACCCCTTCGCAGGTGTCCTCTCCCCTTCTGGGAGGCCAAGAGGCGAGGACCTGGCCGGAATCTGCCATGTTGGTGCAGTGGCTGTGGTCCTCTGCCAGAGGGGTCCAGAGGAACAGTCAGGAAGATCCCTGAGGGGTTCCAATCGAGCTCCTCCTCCGCCTCCATCAAGAGAGGAGGAGCGATGGTCTGGCAATTGGGGACCTTCTCGGGGACAGGGACTGGGGCCAGGGGAGCAGGGTGTATGGGAGCAGGGTCAGGAACTGGAGGTTCAGGAACCAGGGGAACTGGATCTGGAGCCAGGGGCATTGGACCTGGAGGGTCAGGAACCTCAGTGGGCAGAGTAGGAACTGGAGAAGGAACCTCAGGGGCAGAGCAGGAACGGGTGGATCAGGAACCTCAGGGGGCAGAGCAGGAGTCACAGAAACAGGGGCAGGCCCCGCGGGGGGCGGAGCCAGTGGGTCAGGAATCATGGGGGGTAGAGCAGGCACTGGCGGTGCAGCAGGAACCCCGAGTGGCGGGCATCTGCAGGAGGAGCAGGAACCGCAGGGGGAGGAGCAGGAACCGCAGGGAGCATAGCATCCACCGCCAGCACAGGAACCACGGGGGCGGAGCATCCACCACTGGCACAGGAACCGCAAGGACTGGAGCCAAGGTTTGTGCCTCGGTAGCAGACGCTGCCCCTTTAAGGACCGTGGGGACCCACAGGATGGAATCTCATACAGACCTGGCCCCTTTAAGAGCCAGGCGAGTCCCAGGAAAGGGGAAATGGGAGTTCCGTGCAGCCGCTTGGACGAAGCGGTGGTGTCGTCATCTGGTGTGAATACCGCCAGATGAAGAATCGGGAGGGATTCCCCCCGACATGCAGCAGAGTCGGCAGCAAAGACTGAAGTGGCTCCCAGGAAGACCTTTGGCGTCTCCCATCTTCGGTTTTCAGTTTCTTCTTTTTCCCACTGTCTGGAGAACTTCGGGCGGCTTAAACAGTGGATCACAGAGTCCGCAGTCTAGGTTTACTCGCCGCTTATTCACCTCAGCTGCCCAACTTCTGAGTCGCCGCAGGTTCACCCGTACCTCTTCCACGAGGTGCAGATCCTTTGAAGGGGAAATCCTCTTCACGATGTCCCCTAAGTACATAGCCAGGGTCTGGGCCGTGAGGTTCTCCTGGACCTCAGGTTGCTGAAGCTAATACATAAAGTTTGGTAAATTTTTCCTGTACCATTTTACCAAAATGGTACGGGCTCGCCACCTGTCCCCCCTCTGCGGGCCTCCCTGTATGGGGGTTGGGTGACCCCTTAGTCCCTCGCGAGCTGCCTCCTAGGTTGGGCAGGTGGTTGTCTCGGGGACGCGTGGCCATTGGCCCTTGTGCCGGGGGGGCGGCGGGGTGGCCCCGGTTGCCTGATTTCCCCTGCCTTCGCCTTGGGCCTGGGGAGGGGGGGTTGCTGTCGCTTCCCCTAACAGCATCAAATGCCAGCACATCCAATGACAAATCAGTTCACACCTACACTTGCACATACAAGAATGGTTGAGCGATCAATATCATTATTATTATTACTTTTTAGCGTGTGTTATAGATGACAATATACATGTATATGGGTAGGATCACGTGTGTGTGTTTGCTACATATATATAATACATATATATAATACCTATTTGTAACATTATTAATTATTATTATTGATATTGTTGTTATATTTTTTGTTGTTTGATGTCCTTGTAATGAGTGTTATGTTTCTTATGGTTGTTTGTATTCTGTATTCCCCTACACTTAATTTTCTCCATCCCAGCTACATTATTAGTGTTATTATTCCTGTATATCTTTGTTTTCTTTTTTTTTTCTCTCCCCCTCTCACCATGGTGATTAATGTCTGTTATTGTTACGATTGTTGTTTCTGTGTCCCCCCCCCCCTTTTTTTTTCCTTCACGGTACTAGGACGGGTGAGTTCGGAGCGGCCACACTCTTTGCTCTTGAATTTAATGAAAAATAAAGTTGTCCTCCGAAGAGGGGGGGGTGGTGGTGGGCAATAAAAAAAGAAAGAAAAAAAGAAGTCATAAAGCTTCTGAAAGCACCGAACTGGGGGGCTAGTAGACCCACCTCTGCCTGGGGCCTCTCACCATGAGCAACTCCAGAGTGGAACAGAGTTCAGCCCCTCTCCAAGAGTTTGGTTCTAGAGACTATCTCTCTATCTCCCACACCAGCTCAGGCTCCTTTCCCACCAGAGAGCCCACAGTACGGACCCATGTTTTCTCTTTGGGCTATGCCACTCGCCTTCAAGTTCCCATTCCAGGCCTGGCTCCAGGGCAAGGCCCTGGTGTCCCCAATCCAGACAGGATAACATGGTCCCTTGTATTTTATATCATCCTGGTGTTTTTCTGAATTGTACTTAGTATAGCCGCTCAACTAGGACCAATTTGCCTTGGGAGTCCCTACCAGGGGCAATTGCCCCCAACAACATAACTCCTAGGAACATGGCGGCACGCAAACTCTACTACCACGATAAGATGGCGATTCATGGAGGTTTATATTAAAATTATATAATGAGTCTGGTTGAACACAAATTCTGTGTAAATACGCACCAAATGAAGCACTGAGTTTTACTGTTTGCACATTTCAATTGTGATCTCTGTCAAGCCCTACCAATCTGCCCCTCCTGTTTCTCCCTAGTGTGGCTCTAACAAGCCACAACTGTTATGCATCATTCTTACCTCTCATTCCTACCCTTGTGTAATGCTCTCCAGGTGCCTCTCGTTCTACTCCCTTGCTAGTCTTTGTATAAAGGTGCCTCCCAGCCCTGTGTTCCCCAGTCTTGACACTGATGTTATTAATCCTGCTAGTTTTGTTGTTGATCCCGTTGTTTACCTGCCATTGTGAGTGGAATAAACCACTTGCTTTGCCCTGCTTCCCGCGTCTTTCATCCTGCATCCTCACAACATTCTCTCCACTGGATTTGAGGTCATATCAATTCCTTGCCTAATTGTAGCAACTGCAAAAAAAACCCTATGCTGGCTACTTGTACTACTGTTCGACATCTTGGACGTCTCCAATAATAATGCATTTGTCATCTGGATGGCACTGAATCCATATTAGAACATAGGAAAGCTCCAGAGATAACTGTTTTCAAAAACTAGACAAGGAATTGATAATTGCCATTTCATGAAAATGGTATGGTAAAAGTTGAACAAATTTTGTTGGGAAATAGATTAAGACCTTGCTTTTCAGAAGGTGTAGAACTTGTTTATACATTATGGAAAAAATAAGAGAAATGCCCTGTCAAACTTTGCTCATATATGCAAACGCGTATAAAACCATAGATTTCAAAGTGCATTTTCTTGAAAATAGTACAGTAAAAGTTGACCAGATTTTGTTTGGAAATAGCCTAGGGCCTTAGCTTTCAGAAAGTATAAGAGTTGTTTATATGTTAAGGGAAAATTCTGAGAAATGGCTTGTCAAACTTGACTCATAGCAAAGTGCCTTATCTTGAAAATGATACAAGAAGAGTTGAAATTTTTTTGTCTGGAAATAGCCTTGGACCTTGCCTTTCAGATGCTATATGACTTGTTTATACATTAATGGAAAGTAAGAAATTAATTGTATTCAAGTACATCCTGGACTCTGTACATATGAATATTCACCCTTTTCTTATGCGCGATCGCTTAGAGTATTGTTTTCCTAAATGCCAGCTGATACCGTAATATTATGTCTATGCGTGTACCACACATTTAAAGTGCGAATAGCTTGACCGCAGTTATTTGAAGTGTTCGCGAGCCAGCCCGGATATTCAAATCCCACCGACGCTACAATATTTAATTCGTAATTAGGTTGTGAACTTTAAACATAATTTATTATAGAGGTCAAACAAGTCAGTTTGGATAATAATGAATACATTTTATATTTTATATAGTTTTTTTCTGATTCAGTTTATGCATGCTTCCTTCTTTACTTAAAAAACCTACAGTATTACTGCAAAATACCATGGTCATGTAGACAGGTTAATTAAACCTGCATTTAACCTATTAACAGTTTCTGAAAGTATGTATTATATGCGTTCATCCCACCTAATTCAATATTCTATAGTGTCATTTCTATCACACATATACCGGGAATTTTCCCATTAGGCCGACCACTATGTAGGTCAACAAAATTTGTAGTAACGCCCACCCCCACAGCTCTAAAAAATTTACCGTTGGGCCCCCCAAAGTCCACAGTCCACTTTTAATCCCAGTCCAGCCCTGGATTTAGGTCAGATCCAATAATCTATGCAATTGCAGAATTTTGTAAACAGAGGGCAGTGTAACACCCTATATAATGAAATGTGCTTCAGTTTTCAAGATAGTTGAACGGCACTTTCTCACTTTAACAACTAGAGTAAAGAGGTAACTGGACGGTGTCTTATGCCGCTCTTTGAAATTTAAGTACAAAGCCAATATAATGTAGCAATTATTCTGTATGTTTTGTGCTCTTTTCTACTACCACAGAAATTAATGTTTGTTGGTAAGATACGGCTTTTTGAATCTCTTTTTATTGTAAGGTGGCGGTAGTGCAAATACGATCGAATTACAAGCATTGAATGTAATTAAATGTAGTATAAGCCAAAATTATCAAATGAAAAGATATAAATAGCTAAAGTTGTTTGCTGAGAAAATAGAAAATTCATATCTTACTTTTTGGAAAGCGCGCTCTCACATCCATCACGAGAAAGTAATGATTGGTTAATATATCACACTGATGGGCAGTAATAACTGGCTTGCTAGTTAATATAGGAGAGTCGGGCTTGGGGAGCGGAGGCAGACAGCGCAAAGGAGGAGCTCCTTAAAGGAGTTTTAACGCAAAGGAGGATTTTTTACGTATCATCCATTGTGACACAACCGATCGACAGAAGGTTTTGGAAAGAAGGGGATACAGTATACATTAACGGACGAAAGCTGGATTTGCTTGATCTGTGATATTACAGGTGAGGAAATGAGCTTACTGCTAAATCTCGAATCGTTCATCTCTAACTTGCATTTTTTATATAATTGTCCTGTCCTTCATTAGTTCAAAAATGACATATTATAACAATAACATATGAATGAATTAAAAATTAAGGTAATGAATTAATGGCCTTCTATTCAGCTAAACATTTGTAACCTTGTAGGTAGATGTTTAAAATGTTTTGCATAGATAGTTCTCTAATTGTATAACACTGGATTGCATAGATCTCTTTTTTTGTGTGAATTGTGCGGTGTGACAGTGCAGACCGAGGCTGTGCTGGATTTACCACATATGGTCGTACAGTATATTCATTTATTTATCATGTAAATTTATTTTATAAGGAAATGCATGTATGCACACAATTATCAGGCTAATATATTTTCAGAAACGTTAAGCACTAGTGATGTGCTTCAGTGTGGGTTGCTGTTGTGAAAACCAATTATAACTATATAACAACAATATAATTTTATGTTCTTGTATAACACGTAACAAAACGAATACTTACCTGTAACGAAAGCGAATACTTACCAAATTGTAGTTTTATTTTCCATATTGTCTTTATTAGCCCTGCTTTTACATAAATGCAACCAATTTTACGACTAATTATTTCTTTTTTTTTTGCGTTAAACTTGTGCATACTGATTCTGAGGGTCTGCCTCAAATCTTTCAAGTTTTCTCTACAAATTCAGACCTTCCAGAGTTGTCCTCCTTTATTTCTGTGATTTCTTTTGCATACTCCGGTTTCCTGGTACAATCGAATGATATTCAGTTTGATGTAAACCAGCCGTTGTGGAACCAGATATTGAGGTACTAACAAGATTTTAAAGGTAAATAAATGCAAACCAGGAATTTTGCTATTATCGATGGGAACGTTGAAGCACCGTAACTGACATAGGCCTATTGGGAAATGCACAAATTAAATTAAATCCAGCAAACGGGCACATGGATTCTGACATAAAAAGTGCCCTTTAGATACCGTTTCACCACTGTTTCTGTTTGTTTTGTCTATGCATGTGTCTGACCTCCTGGAGTAAACTCATTTACGTTCTGAACGTTTTCTCTTCTGATGTCACTGCGCAGTTTAAATTAAACAGGACACCCTTAATGGTGCCAACCTACCAAAGCAAATCGAAAGTATATATATTATGTGCAATATAACACGCATGAATTATGGCAAGAAGTAAGCTGTCAGTGATTATACATTGCAATCTAAAGCTGCAGCTGTTTTTTATTGAGATTTTTCACTTTATGTGATTATAAGCAAAAAAACAAGGACATTTCCATGGATATCTGATAGCACTAAATGACACAGTAATATTGTCTCTGCGATAGATCAGAATCAGCTTAATTTCTTCAAGTACATATAGACCAGGGGGTGTCAAACTGCAGTCCTGGGGGGCCGCAGCCCTGTGTAGCTTAGTTCTTTCCCTGTTCCACCACAAATGATTCAGCTCAACAGCTGTGTGGTAATTAGCACAAGAAGTTGAATCAGGTGTGTTAAACGAGGAGAAACCCAAAAATGTGCAGGGCTCCGGCCCCCCAGGACTGGAGTCTGACACTTGTGATATAGACCATTGTTTCTTGACCCAGTCGTCGGCGACCCCCAGATAGTCCACGTTTCTGCAAACCCCCCCCCCCCCGACTCCCTGCCAGACACTCTACAGTTTTGCGGGGGGGCTCAGAGGATCAGGTGGAGACATACTGATTTAGACTGTGTGTGCATTGGTGTTTTTGGTACTGAGACAAACATTTTCACAAATATTCCTTACATGAACTAGAGTCAGGCTTTTAATGTTACTGTATTTCAAATGGAACCTACACCTTTGATGCACACAGGTAACATCCAGTGGAGACAGAGAGGTGTGAGCATTATGTAGATTTGTAACTATTCTATATGAGTATCACATAACAACCTGCTCACTAAGAGTTCTGACACTTCTGCTTGTTTTTCTTGGTTTGTATGTGTACAAAATGTTGTAGAAATGGATTTTGGGATGTATTCATGTCCCATGAGATGTGAACTGCACTCTGACATTTGCATGAAAGGAAAGTTTATGACTCCAGAGCTGTTTTCAAATGTTATTTAATGGGGAAATTTCGTATATATGCTTAACATGGCAATTTTACATAAGGTAATCAAAATAAACAAAAGCCAGGGGAAATACTGAATACATCCCATTTTTTTGCATTGTGTTCACTTCTGCAGCCCAAAATACAATGTAGGGCAATTCCATGCAAAGGTCACCCTTACTAAGGACAAAAAAGAGCACAGGTACAGAACTATTTTCAAGATATTCACTTGTGTCTATATTTCACTGTATGTAACTGCTCTAATCAAATTTTAAAGAAAATTTCACGATATATAGAAATATCTGGGGCTGTTCCACAAAGCAGGACTTCTCAGTTAGCTGGCTTAATTTAAGATAGAAGTCTTGATAATCCAAGGGTTTAGGTAAGGAGCATTCCTATTGAACAGTCATGACCACTAGCTTAGTTAACACAGCTAACTGAAAAATCCTACTTAGTATACCCTCGTAATGTATTTTATAAATTTACAAACATTCATAAGGATGTAGGTGAGTTTGGGTTTAGGGGGCATTCTCATTTAATAGTTTTTTTCAATTATTTCTCAAGTCTGTGGACGATGGGTTCAGACACATCTATAACGTAAAATGTAAAATTATCCGTAATGCCTGTTTTTCTTCATTTTTTCCCCCAAACAAATATTTTCTATATTTTTTCTGTTAATTCAAGTGCATTTCTTGTTACACATATAATGCTTCCTGCAGTTTAAAATTTAGAGTCTGTAGAAAATCTGTAGTCACCCATGAAAGTCAGTCTGTTTGATGTCACATCCATAGCGCTGATGAAACGCTACGCCTTTCTATGTTATGGTGCTGGTGTTACCCAGCCTGTGCAGCTTTCTGAAATAAGCTCTCAGGTCTGTAATACTGTTTCTCTTTGGTAGAAGTACAACGCAAAATGGTGATTATTGGCTGGGTAGGCTGCTCACCGCAGGCCGCAGGAGCTCTCATGTGGACGTCTGTCTCGTCCTGCCGCCCAGAAAGCCACCTCTGTGTCACTCCTCAGGCCGCACTGCTTCACAGTTTCTAAAAAACCGAAACTCCAGCTGTCAGAGGTTGCCGGCTACAGCATCGACGCTAAGAGGGCGAGTCAGGGGCCTGCACTGCTTCAGGAACTTTTCTCATCCTTTATTTCTGCTAGTTTATCATAGACCCAAATCTGAAGGGAAGTGTGTCAGTCTGTAGTCTGTTATGTAAGCTTTTCTTGTGAATTTTCTTCCTGTTTCCACTGCATTGTTCCCACTTATGTTCGTTCCTTTTTGTATAATGTATTTCACCTTTCTCCTCTTATTCTCTTTTTGGACCATTTCCCCAGCTTTTCCTCACACCAGCCTTACCACATTTCTCACTATCATACCTTGTTACAGACTTCTATGCTTTGTTTTTTCCACTGCACCGTTAATGGAATATGAGTTTGCCACTTAATGACACTTTTGGTTTTAACACACCGTGTGAAAACCGTTATTCATTAAAATGGTGACAACATGTCCATTTGCTAGGCTTATATACACCTCAGTGATATTATAACAGTGAATAACTGTAAAGTATCACACCATGTTGCAGTATTTTCCCAACTTTTTTTTGTTTTGTTTTTGAAAATGTGATGATGGCAAAAATTCAGCAGACATTGGTTTGGCAAAGAGAAAATGTAAGAATTACAGCTGGCAGTAAAAACCAGCCATAACTGTTATAAAATCAATGGTTGTATCTGATAACCGTTCAGTCCAGAGACCCGTCTGATCAGTATTATTAACCTGACTCCCCTAGGTCTTACCCCAGCTAGTATGGAGTCCTTGGTGGTGTTTTGGTTATAGCTAATACCTTATAAACCACATGCGTGCCTCACACATAAACCTGTTTAACATTAAAAGTAACTACTGTAATTGTTCTAGCTGTCTGGTTTGTATGCTGATTTCTGTTTTAGTCACACTATGTTCTGCTTCACAAATATTTTGCTATTTTTCAAGCAAGTCTTTCTGGGTTGTTACAGTACCTGGAATCAGGGGCAGATTAACGCACAGGCTAGATATGGCTTAAGCCTAGGGGCCCCACGTGTGCCAGCCTGCAAGGGGCCCCCCATTGGCGTGGAGGGGGGCGGGGTTGGGGGGCCCACAGACTACTGTAGCCTAGGGGCCTCTGTACACCTTAATCCGCCCCTGTCTGGAATGTTAGCTTTGTTGCTGATCTCATGCTAAGAGGCATCAGATGGTCTTTAATGTGCTTTGAGGAAGATGAATTGGGTGACTTGGTCACTACAGGTCATGCGGTGTCTTCTGGGGAAATGAGGCACTTGGAAGTTCACAAATGGAACTGCTATTCAAACAATAAGTCAGTGGTCTTTACAGCTTGGACATCAAACCAAAAAGGATACACAAATAAACTGTTAAAACCATGTTTTCTCTGATCCAATCATTTTATTCCAAATTGAGGAAAACAGTTAATTCCTTCTTGTGTTTTGTAACTAAAATATGTGTTATTGAAAATTGAAAATCTGTTAAAGTTATACAGTTTGGATTGAATTTACTATTGTGTTGCTTTTTGTTCAGCGTATAAAATAGAATATAAATGCCTCACTATTACAGTCATTTCACCACCAAGCGATGTTCAGTATAATGTGTTTCTGCTTTGTGTCTTTGGACTGGCCCCAAGCTGGCATTTCTGATGATGTGTGGATGGATGAATAGATCAACGACTGAATCGCAGTCAATATTTAGCTAATGCGTTTGATTTGACTGAGGTGGATATTACACCAAAGCTCACTCACAGCTGCTTAATTAAGAACTAGGATGAAACAGAAACCAGCATGGCATTAGGAGTGTGTTTGCTTAGCCCAGCTATGATGGCATTGGATTGAGATTGAAGTGGTGCTGTCTAGTTTTGAACATCAAAGTTTCAGTCTGTGTAGGGTGGAGGAAAAGAAAGGGTCTATTCACAAGACCAGGTTCACTTGGAGTCAAGAGAAGCAGTTATAGTAATAGAGAGAATCAGAGTTCTTAGACGTGATATCTGGTGAATCCAGAGACATAATCTCGGGTAGCAGAATGTATAGGGTAAATGTATTTCAGTTTATATACATAAATGCAATACATGATATATTTTTATATTCTCAATTTAGGAGACACCCTGTATTTATGTGTAGTTCTAATACAGTCCTCATTATAACAATAGGAACATAAGATGTCCTTGGCATTATTTTCATTTCTAAGTCAGGAATATTTTTTTACTGGGCGCCCCGAACGCCGTGTTAGCCATCAGTAATCTCTGTAATCGTAGTCCGCATCTGACGCATGAGAAGCCGAACGAACTTGTGGGTGCGGGGTACCGTGTCCGCGGCAGCCCTGGCGGCAGAAGCGGCTCTTAGTGTTCCGCGGTGTCCGATTACCGAACTAGACACCCGGGGCACATGAGTCCCACGGCATTTTGCAGATCGGCAGTTTCCACCCGAAGAAGTGCGAAGGACGGATCTGAACCTCCCGTTCAGACTGTGTTTTGTTTTATTATACGGGAAATGATTTTGTGAGTCAAAACCAGGATGTCAGTGGGGATCACTGCGAAACTGATTTCAAAGCTGTCACGCTATATTTATATACTTATTTTATATTGGCTGGTGGCTGTTAAAATAAAAACACTAACAGTTAAATGATCGCTCAGAAGGTAACACCATAGCCTCACACCTACACTCCATCTCTGTGCTGGATAATCGTTTATGGAAGATTGACGGATGGATTGATTTAGTGATTATCTTAAACAATTAAGTGCCTTCCAGTTTTCAGAGGAGAGACAGACCTGTCAATGCCACCTCATTAAAATCCTGAAATTCTGGATGTTTATACACTACACTTGAAAATACTCCCTCGATAGGGGACTTTGGTATTTTTGAATGCATATAGGCCTACTTGTTAATGCTTAACATGTATTATGCTGTTAGTGAAGTAAATGACTCCAAGCTTTCTGCATTTGAAGCCCTTGACTTCTCTGTCAAGGAGACAAGCTCTTTCAAGAAAAGCCTCATTTGGACCCCAAAGGCTATGTATTAATGTCATCTATTTTAACAGAAACCCCCCTAATTCAAGACTGAACCATTGAAATTAAGCTTACCATTGTCATTCCACTGTAGTAAGCCACTGAATAAAGTAATGTTGTTGAAATTGAGCTTTCCACTTTGCTGTTAGATCATTTTCAATTCTACTAGTTACTAGTTTAGTTATGACATAACTCATTTGTTTAGTTTTTTTAATCATAGAATTGCTTTAAGATACTGGAAAGCTAAGCAACTGAACTCAAGCTGTGATTTGAATACATAGCCTTCAAAGAATATATGTGTCATGTCCTGCACACTTGACCCTACTGTCACCTCCCTCATATGGACCTGATGAGTCACGCCCGATGCTTATTGTCCCTTGTTAGTCCTAGTATATAAGTCCCGGTTTGTCTTGTCATGATCTTTAACGTCATTCCTCTTATGAGCCTGTGTCCTTCCCTACACTAGCCTTCTCGTTTTGATCCCTCTCAATCTGGTTTATTTCCAGTCTCTGTTCTTTGAGTTCAGTAAACCCCCTTTTTGTTTCACCACAATGCCTGCTCTCATTTGTTCCCCAGGTCTTCACAGTGTGCTTCTAAAATCCTTGGTTGTTTAGTGATACAGAGAAGGTCTCATTAAAGGCCTTTCCCACTTCTACAGGTATGTCCATTACTAAAACATGTGAATTTTAATTTTTTTTCTTTTGCTGGTTTGCTGGGGAACATTAAGAGAGACCTGGCCCAACCTGCACTTTGTCGACAGACCCAGTTTGGCTCACAGCCAGCACCAGGACATGTGTCAGACAGAAAACCAGTGCTTTTCATCGCTCCTCTTGTGCTTCAGAGATAAGACATCAGATTCAGCTGGAATATAATGCCATCTGATAACTGTGCCACTGATTCACAACATCAGTCCAGAATTATTTGCTCTGGATGTGGGCTGTAGCTTTGTAGTCATGTCTTTTTAGCTGCTGTGGCTATTCCTTGATAGACATTTCCTCGTCAGGGAGATCTTAATTATCAGTTTTTACATAAATAAGAAGCAGTTGGCTCAGCATTTTAGAATTGCTTGTCAACTCCTCATCATTCAAGACACTGAACCTGTCTTTCTTGCCCTAGGGTTGTGGAATATTACCCCTATTGTCCATATTTTATAACCTGTACTTGCTGTACAGGTTGCCGTTGACTACCATGAATACCACGATGGGTTCCGACTGACTGGTTGTAAGTCAGTTTGGTCATAAATCGGCCCTTTATTATGTAAAAATTATCATATGTATAATATACTGTATGATAAAAATTAGATCATCTTTAAGTCGTAATGTTTGGTATTTTATACCCTATTTATCACCATTTTCTTCTGCTGCCAGCAGTTGGGGTGGAAACTATCATACACTCACGCTGGGCAACACTCGTGCGTAAACTCATGTTTATGTTTTGTGCTTACGCAATCTTACTCTTGTAAATAAAGGTACTTATTTCCAAAGTGCTCTGCAGTTTGTTGTAGATTGCAGATGTTTCAGGTTTTATGCTTGCTGGAAAAATGTAGTGATTGCTGAAAAAATGTAGTCTCTTTTTTGTAGTCTTAGAAAGCTACTTCCGCTGATGAATTGAATTTGATATGACTGCTTCTTCTACATGGATAGAGCTATTGTGTGCTCTTCTGCCCTTTGTATAAAATGTGAAGCCATGTTTCGGTCAGCTGAGCTGTTTAATGGTCATGCTTAATAAAGCCAGTTATATAGAACCTACCGCCTTGTGTGAGTTTATCTTGCTTAGAAACAAAAGCTATGGGCTGCAGGCACGCGAAGGGCTGTTTTGGAAGCAGGAATTCTATACAGTGGTTGGCCCTGATCAGTTTTGTGCTTGGCCACTGGTTGCTTTCCCTGAGAATAAAAGAAAGTCCATCCATCCTTTATCAGCTTGCGATGGTCATTCGAGTTGGTTTATCTGGTCATACCAGCATGACCAGCTTGAAAGGCTGGCCACACCAGCTTGACCAGCTGGTGACCCACCCAGTTAAACCAACAAAGAGCACTAAGAGCTGGGAAATGACCATCTACTGTAAGACCATCTTAGAGCACCTTAGACCAGCTAAAACCAGCTACCAGCTATCTTTTCAGCAGGGTGGGTCTTAAATTATATCGCGCTTTCTTCGAGCATTTGGCACACTAATATCGAGAAAAAATATTTTGTGATAATTGTAATTATCGTTTTATCCCCCTTTGAGATATTGAACCTTTGAGACCAGCTGTCATAATATCTCTTTTATTCTGGGACAATCAATGAAGCAGTTATAGAGGGCTTTTGCTAGTGCCTTTTAAGTGGTGCAATATGTTACCAAATTCTCATGTAAAAGAAAAAAAAAATTAATGAAAAAAGTAGGACAGGAAAAAAAAGTAGGGCGGGATATAGAAAGTGTTTTTGGAATCTCATAGTGTTCACTTAAAGTAACCATTTACATATTATACACCTATCCATCATCACAGCCATATGCAGTAAAGGGTGTTGGCACATAATCACACAAGAATACCGAAAACTTTGTATTGTATATAATACTGTTCTGTTCATGACTGATGCTAAGAAGCAACATGAGACTGGCGAAGTAGATCGATGGAACTTTCTGGGAAATTGAGAGGTCTGTGGTGTTGCAGTGGAAGCATCAGATGAGGCTTGTGTTTACTGACCAGTCTACATTCCAGTCCTCACCTGTGGACTTGACCTGTGAATACTGAGCATAAAGAACATGGGTTTGAGTACAAGCTAAGCTTACCCTCCGTGGCAGGGTGAAGTATTCTAGAGGGACCTCGAAATAAAGCCATTGGTTCTTTGGTTTGAAGGGGTCGGCTGAGGTAAGGATGCCACCAGGCCAGCTGCTCTGGGGGGTGCTCTGGGGGGTGCTCTGGGGGGTGCTCGGGCTCTTCCCATTGAGACAGCCAGGACTCACTGGTGCTATTAGGGTATGACTTATAGCTTCCATGAACAGTGTTCTCTCTCTTTCACGTCAGATTAAACATGACTCGGTGGAGGGGCAGACAGATGTGAAGACCCCATGGGAGAGGGGATGACATGGAGGAGGTGAGGTTCTGTCAACCTGAAACAGCCGCTTTTAAAAAGGAATCAGATATAACCAAAAATGTACACTTAAGTGTAAAAACAGCCATCTAACAACTTACTAAATGAAGTCCCTCAGACATAGAAATAAATATCTTCTATGTGAAAAGGCATTGTAAATAATATTGGATAATGCTGTACCATTTATAATGCATTCATAGGAAATTCTGTGCACCTTCATAATGCATTCATTGGTAAAAACAAGCATTGTAACTGCATAATCATATAATGTTTGATATTAAAGCTGTTAAATTATTGTGGCACCGGGCATCACAATGGCAAATAATGAGAAGACTTATTTACAGGGACAAACCATTGAGTCCTTAACAGGACTAACACAGGCACTAGACAAGCATTGGAACCAACCACATACAGACACACAGGGAGGTCAGACGCCGGACAGTAACGCTCACACATGGTGGGTAATTTATACATGCTAAAGACATAAGGATTGGACAAGGTTTACGCAAAACACGGGCAAACACACACTCGACAGTCGGGAGCAAGTGTGAACAATAACAGTACAACAAGGGTTATTTACAGTACACAGACAGGGGCTATTTACAGTTGCCCGCAAGCATGCTGGGATATGCTAATCCTGCCGGCGTTAAGATGTTAAGGTATACAGGCGCTCCTCTACTAACGAACTTTCAACTTACGAACTTTCAGACATATGAACAAAGAGGAATATAAGTTCAAATTGTGTTAATTGGGCTCCCATTTCCGAAACATCAATTTTTTTTTTCTGCGCGCCAATTCTTCCTAGTACATCTTCTGGCCATTACTCCCACCGCACAGCAGCGTAGCGTGCATACTACCAGCATCCTAAGTCTTAGTACTTGCGTATACCATTAAAATGATGTTGAATAACGACTTACGAACATTTCAAGTTGGGCTGTTCGGAAAGTATCTCGTTCGTAAGTAGAGAAGCTGTACTTGCATGCTACTTATGAATGCATTATAAATGCATTATGAAGGGGCACTGAATGCTCTATAAATGCATTATGTAGGTGCAGATAATGTAAAATGTTACCTAATACCTAATTACAATACACAATGCACAGAAGAATATGAATACATAGGTGATTTACTAATTGATACATTACGTTTATGCTTTACATTATAGTATACATTATACTGCATTATATTTATAGAATCTCTGTGCCTAAACAATTTTGCACTTGCTTAGTATTGTTAGCTGTGTCTTTGATTGCAGAAAGCATGGAAGCCCAGTCTTCATTGTTTTGCTGCAATGGAAAATTTTGTCAAGGGTTTGAGCATGTATGATGATGTAGGGTAACTGGTGTGGAACTTCAGCTGGCCCACAAGAACAATATAACATTGAAATATTATCCCTGTTCAGTCTCACTGACATATAGAGTTATTAAAAAAACATCATTTAACGAGTGTCAAACGATCCAGCACAATAAATATCAATAGGGTGGTGCTATAGAGCTTATGCCGTTCATTCTTGATCCACAGATGTTGTGACATTCGCATTCATGCACAGCGTCTCTATGGTAACATCTGTCTCACTGCCTCTGCCATGTGCGCATAAGAGTGTGAAACCTTTTAGCCAAACTGAACTCTCAGAAGCAGTAGTAGACTCTGGTTGGGGGGAAATGACTCTGCACCCTCCTGCTTGCAGGTCCTCAGGTAACAATCCACTGGCCCTTACTTTTTCCCCCTCATTTGGTTCCTAGTATAAATGATCCTTTTTCTCAGTACAGGACCTCTGAGAAGAGTGACGTGAAATGTTAATAACTTGCTACATAATTAATGGAGACAATTCATCAGCCTTCACCTTGGCTATCATAAGTCTACACATGATGTTAAACACTGTTTTACCATTCCAAGCATGGAAGGATCGAATTTCTGCAGTCACTCCTCGCTACCTGGGTGTTGAACTTTGTCTGTGGGCATTTTTTTTCCACAACAGATGTACGTGAGATACGTATTTGAGAGGCCTGGTCATTTCTTGGTCATTTCTTGAGCAAGGATAAAAAGACCCTCTGTCAAGTATGTTTTGGCAAATGTCATTGGATTTTGGTTGTATACACATATGTTGTGAGTAGCAGTGTGTCTCAAAGCTTTGTGACACTTTCTGTTTAGCACACTATCTGCAAATATAAGCTAGGCTCTAGAAAAGTGCATTTTAGACTCTTTCCAGCAGGTATATCATGACCTTTTGCAATAAAACAAAACATTGCTTTTGTTTATATCATGACCCTGTGCTTGATAAGCATCGTGGAAAATGGATGGATGAATGGCTGTATGTTTTTACCTAGAATATTGGGTAGCACATTGTTTGGATAGTACTGTATTTGTAGCACTTCAACAACTTAGCTGAGAATCAGCTATTTCATTGTGTCTGTAGATGTTTAACAGACTATACAATATATAGAGTATATGTAATGATTCATGAACATACCTACATGTTCTTAGAATAAGAAGAAAGTAGAGAAATCCTGATATATTTCTAAAATTGTTTGAAATTTTGCATGTTTATGTTTAAACACTCAAATATTTCAGTTTTAATGTCACCTTTCTGTACAAGCTATTGTTTAGCAATATTATATGGAATTCATTTTCACACTACAATTAAAAATGTTTTTTAGGTCACTGACAAGCTGTAGAAAACTTTGTTTGAAGTTGGTTTTTGTTTGGAGTCTTGAATAAATCAAATAAGAGACTGCACTGTTGTCTCGGGGTCTGGGGATCCAGGATCCACCATGGGGCCGTGAGTGTGGAGTTTGCACATTCTCCCCATATTGTTGTGGGGTTTCCACCCACAGTCCAAAAAGATGCTAAGATGAATTGGAGTTACCAGATTGTTACTGGTGTGTGTTCCCTGCGATGGGTTGGCACCCCATCCTGGGTTATTCCCTGCCTTATACCCGTAGCTTCCGGGATAGACTCTGGATCCCTATAACGCTGTACAGGACAAGTGGGTATACTGTAGAAAATGGATGGATGGATAAACCAATCAAGAGAAATGATTCAAGTGGGAGCATGTTATCACTTATTAGGTGCTTTATAAGTATGTTAATAATAGTCAGCACAATTAATGGTTAAAATCAGGGACTAGTGAGCTGAAGTTTTCTGATGCAACAAACACCGGTATCATATCCCGGTAGGATACAAAACATTAGACCATAAAAATAGGTGCCTTTGGGTAGAAGGGTCAGCTGTGTAACTGACTATTATGTCAAGCAACAGTAAAAGCTTGGCATAGTAAGAAACTGATACATTAAATTCCTTCCCACTGAGTGCAGAGATTAAGCTGTCAAGGCAGCTGGACAGCATGACCTCAGGATTTCCCTTGGGGTGGGGGGAGGGTGTCTCAAAACATTACCACCTGTTCTCTGCCAGCTCCGATTGTCAACCAGGTCTTACAGAAACACTCCCTGCCTTAGATGCTGAGAATCACACAACATTAATAAGCAGTGTCTACTACTGTTCTACTGGTTTATGTAAAACCATGAACCAGTACCTTTTCCCCTCTTCCACAGTACCTTTTTACAGTAACAGTCTCTGGAGACTTTTGAAGTATCTTTGTTATTCTGTGAGGTTTTGTTTTATGAAATGGACCTTGTTCAAGCTCAGTAAAACAGCCTCTCTCACACAATGGACCGGTTTTATTGTCGCACCATATTAATAGATTAGAGTATGGTGGTAAAAGTTTTTTATAACACCCATCCATCCATCCATCCATCCATTAACTTCCACTTATCCCGGGTTCGGGTCGCGGGGGTAGTAATACCCAGACCTCCCTCTCCCCAGCTACCTCTACCAGGGGATGCCGAGGCGTTCCCAGGCCAACTGAGAGATATAACCCCCCCAGCGCGTCCTGGGTCTGTCCCATGTACCTCTTTTGGGCTGAGCCCCACCAGGCGCTCGCCAACGGGCCCCTCCCCCAGGCCAGGCTCCAGGGTGGGGCCCCGGTAACCCTAGTCCGGGCGAGGGAAACGAGACCTTGATAGAATTCTTTGTCATAAGGGTTTTTTTCGGATTGGTCTTTGTCTGGTCCCTCCCCAGGGATCTTTTTGCCTTTTTGCCCTACAATGTTACTGGCCTTGCGGATCAGTTTATTGTTGGCATCCGCTACGCTCAGCCTGCTGCCCCAGCATGCAACAGCGTAGAGTATGGCACTGGCCACAACAGACTCATAGAAAATCCTGAGCATTGTCTGGCAGATGTTAAAGAACCTCAGCCTCCTCAGAAAATAGAGGCGGCTCTGGCCCTTTTTGTACAGTGCCGTTGTGTTTTTAACCCAGTCCAGTTTATTGTGGATGTGTACTCCGAGGTATTTGTAGTCCTCCACTATGTCCACATCAACCCCCACGATTGAAACAGGGGTCACTGGTTTTCTGGACCTCCTAAAGTCCACAATCAATTCCTTTGTCTTTGTCATGTTCAGCTGCAGATGATTCTGCTTGCACCACGTAACAAAGGAATCCACCACAGCCCGGTCTCATCACCACCACAGCCCGGTACTCTGTCTCATCACCAAAACTGATGCATCCAACCACCGCAGAATCATCAGAAAACCTCAGAAGATGGCAGGTTTCTGTGCAGTGGCTGAGGTCCGTGGTGTAGAGGGGGAGTAGGAAGGGGGAGAGGACGGTCCCTTGTGGTGCCCTGGTGTTGCTGACCACCACGTTAGACACACAGCATTTAAGACGCACATATTGTGGTCTTTCTGTCAGGTAGTCCACAATCCAGGACACTAGAGAGGCATCCACTTGCATCGCTGTCAGCTTCTCACCAAGGAGAGTTGGCCTGATGGTGTTGAATGCACTGAAAAAGTCAAAGAACGTGATGGACACAGAGATTTAATCTGTGTTCTAAGCAACTAGCACAGTGTGTGCAGCAGTATTCAGTGGCCTTGGGAGTCACAGGGATGACTAGGTATGACCTTGCCAGTCCCTTAAAGTCAGACAGCTGGCCTGGATATAAAACCTGGCACCTGACAGAGTCTCTGCTGCCCAGGTACATGAGGGAGTCTCCGCTGCCCAGGTATATGAGGGAGTCTATACTGACCTGGCACCCGAGGGAGTCTCCACTGCCCAGGTATATGAGGGAGTCTATACTGACCTGGCACCCGAGGGAGTCTCCACTGCCCAGGTATATGAGGGAGTCTATACTGACCTGGCACCCGAGGGAGTCTCCACTGCCCTGGTACCCTGCATCAACTAGCAGATGCCTCATGTACACCTGACCTTTATTTTTCCATCAGCAACATTGCAGTCGCTTCCTGGAGGGTGTTTGGGGGATGGTCAACTGGTTTGGTTGAGTTGTTAGGGTGATGCGAGGGGGGTGGGTGTGTGTACTGTCTTATTTATGCTGTTGTTTGTTAGGAGTACTTAAAAATGACTAGATGCCCTTATGCAGCTACCTGGCACATAATGAGTCCCTTCCTTTGTGGACCTTTGAGGGAATAGTCTGATTGGCAGATCTTTTCTCAGCAGCCTAAAATCTGGCTAGTTTCACTGCACTGCTGCTACACTTCACCACTCTTTTGGCAGGTAGCTAAGAGAGCTTGTGTAATGCTTGGCCTGCTACCAGGAACAGTATGAGAAAAGGTCCACAGTGTGAGCAGACTGACGCCAGGAAGCCATGGAGAAAGAGAGAAAGACACAGGGTCCTCTCTTCGCTACCGTCCATTTGAGGGATTTGTGTACCTGTAGATGTGTGCAAATCAGCATGATCACAAGAGATGAAGTCAAACTGAAGGAGAGACTTACAGTATGTGACGAAATAAAACCTGAGCTTTGGAAAGTAAACTATATACTGTAGATCCTACAGTACGATCAACCCTTTATCATATTTTTGTGGTTGCTTTTCGTCAGATTTAAAATTTTAAGCACCTTCTTTATGAAGGCATGTGGGCCAAGACCGTGCCTCAGGATTATACTGCCGTCTTGTAGGTTAGAGCAAATTCTCAGCTCAGCAAATCCGATTTCAATTCAGAGAATGCAAACATAATCAGTGCAATATTTGTTTCTCTTTGAAATCAAAATAGCTTTTTGTGCGGTGCATGGTGTAAGTGTCATCTTTATATTTTTCAGTTCAGTACTGACTAAACACACATGGCTCTATATTTAAACATAAATCAGTCAGCTGGAGACCAGGCCCAGTGCAGATGGGCCACATAGTTGTTCAGGTCAGGCCCGCAATGATCTGGTGGTTGGAGTTGGTAATGCTCCTTACTCATTTAGCTTCCCTGAATGTGTTACTGCTATTTCAAGCGTTCATTTGTGGCGACCCTTTAATTAATAATTCACCATCAGGCCCCACACAAGCAGCTCAGCAAGGGTTTGTCCTAAAATCGCTCTCTGAATAGAAAAGGGGAATTTGCCCATGGTGGTAAAAGGAACATTGTGTGGCCCCTCGATGGTACATCATACTAGTAAATGTTTATGCATTTGGATAGTCAGCATCCTTTCTTTCCACATGGTTACCTTGGCAACCAGTATACGTGGACTATAGCTCTGTGGTCACGCACAGCGGTTATTTAAGATGTGACACTTTGAAGGTCTGGTTTAAAAGGTGGATTCAATCCGCTCATCTCAGATTGTAGAGCAGCACAGCAGGCGCACACCCACGCAGAAATGGATCTATTTTTAAAGCAGTTCGATTAGAGGCTTAGAGATTTCAATCTAATGCTCTGACCCAGTATTACCATTTTAAGGTTTGAAAAGAGGAAGCACATTAACATAGTCACATATGTAGGGGCGACTATTTAAAGATGTGATGTGCACATGCTATACCCATGGCAACTCGGTCTAGATGACACTGTTAGGCTCTATTTGTGAAAGATGAGTGTTGCGATTCACATGATTAAATGAAGCAGGCTAACACTCAAAATCATGGGGAGGGGTAAGATCAGAAACGGAGGTACTGAACTGTCCTGAGTTTCTGACTACAATCATTTTGATGATTTTTTGCTTGCTACTTATCCTCCCACCGCTTATTAGAATAGTCTGCCCTTTTACATCAATGACAGTTTGCCAGGTCGCAGCGCATTTAACTGATTTGATTCTATTCTTTGCACTACGAAGACTTCATCGCTTGTTTGCCCTTGTATTCCTTCTGTTTTGCGGAACCCGAAGTGGAGCCTTCTTCCCTAGTGTTGGATACCTGTAGCTAAACTCGTACTGAATGGTTGGAGTGTAAATCATAAATTTATTAGCAGTTGTGACTATTGAACCATGGAGGATTCATCGCCACGCTAGCAGAAGAGGCCATAGAAGGAGTGGGGTGGGGGGGGGGGGGTCACAACACAGCCACGACGGCCAGCCAGACCCGGCTCTCTCCCGGGCTTTTGACAGCACTCCCCCACCAAGGTGGAGAGGAGAGAAGGACCCTAACCAGTCATTCAGGCACCTTCTCCAAAACCAACCGCAGATGGGCAGCTACCGAATTGAAAGCTTGACCCCAAGGCTCTGCAAGAAATCTCCATCGCTGCCACAGACTACCAAGCACCGAGGACGACATGGCAGGACATCTCAGATTGCAGCTCTCTCCCTACCACACTCACACTCCCTACCTGCACAATAAATAAAGGCACCTCTCAGGAAACGAAACAGCTTCCTCCATCTCTGGGTTCTTCCTGCTCGTGACACAGTTGAGTTCAGTGTCAAGACAGAGACAGTGAGACTTTTAGGTAGCTGTGGATGAGTTGCCAATCTGATGTTTCCTAGGAGTTAGTCTTACAACCTTAGGATAATTATTTTGAAGAGTGCATCATATTTACAATTAGTAGAAGAAATTAAATACAGTATCCATATGCATCAGTACAGCTACAGAGGTACTCTTTCATATCAACATGCTGATACAAAACAACCTTCTTTATTTAGGTGATTGTAACTCCCCAGTAGCCTTTGCTAAAATCGCAAGGCTAGTTAGCATGAGTTACCTGTGCTTCACACTGAAGTGACTAACTACATCCTGTGTGTTCCTCCAGAAGACGAGCACGTTCCCTAGGATGAAGGAGGCGGGAGTGCCGTGGCGGAGATTATCCATGTGCCCGCCTCCCACGCTGGGGCAGAAGATCGACCCCCGCTCACTCATGCGAAACTTTTCCTATGGCGACAATGACGGCTACCCTCAGTGCACAGGTATGTGCCGGCAGACCTCTGCAAAGGTACTCGAATGCTAAAAATGGATCTAAAAAATATACACTGCTACTTAGTTACATGTTATTAACTTTTAACTGTGAATGGAATCCCATTATCTCTCTCAAGGAGTTCCCCCATGGTGCCCACAATAGAATCTAGGCTGCCCATGACCTTGTGCCGAATAAGTGGTTGGAAAATAGATGGATGGACTATTAATTATTAACGCTGCTCGTATGCCGTATTTGAAAGTCTATCCTGTGTGGTTAATAATGATAATGGGCAAAAGTACATACTACAATACAACTTTTTTCCACTACCTGTAGTTTTCCAGTAGTGCATCACTTGCATACAACATTTACTTACTTAGTGACAAACAAACCCTTTAAATGGTTAATGCAGATTTAATGTATGTTTAATGTTTTCGGCCAGCCGTGGTTTTGTATAATGTCCGCCTACGCCAACTGGGACGAGCACTGGGGAGAAATGCTGTTTATTTTTGCCGTTGCTTGAGGCATCCAGCGAGACACTAATCACTTCAATCACACTTCCCTTCTGACACACACAGCCTGTCAAGCTGCCCGGATCGACTACTGTGAGAGATGTTTAACCCTCCATGAGGAATTAGTAACTGCTTCTGTCGTTATAGATCAAGCAGGATTTCTGGCATGCAAATATATGCATCGAAAAAGACAAATGCCTGTACACAGTGATAGTTAAATCTAAATCTGCATGTCCTACTGGACACGTTGTGCTTTCTGCATGGAGATTTTAATGGCTGTCAAATAGTTTTCTGTTCCCTCTCTTTTTAAAATATGACTATAAACATAAGATCTTGTGCAAGGACTGTATAATAACTGATTGTGCTGTTTGTGCAGCTTTTGCACTTTTCATCTCACTTTCTGCTTTGATCTCTGTGTTTGATGGTAGGCAGTGAAATGGAGAGGAATGGGGGCACAGTCCTAAACGATGAGCCCAGCCCAAGCCCGTCCCCCACTAACAAGGCAGGTGGAGGCCTCCTGAGTTACCTTATGCTCGTCAGTGTTATCAAATTCACCACTAAAAGCCCCTTTCGTACTTGGTTTGGTTAGCATGCGTATAAAAGGAAGTTCCTGTAGATGGAAAAATCATAAAAGAAAATACATTTTACAGCACATGACGAATATAGAGCACTTTTATATAGATTAGCAGGCCTGACAATTGCTACAAATGATTAAAAATAAATCCCATGCCTAATCGCATGTCGAATTGTTATTTAAAACATATTTATATTTCATATAAATGTAATGAAACTTTAGCAATAAAAGTGGTATTCTTGTGAACAGAAAAAGTTATTGCAATATTAGCATTTAAAGAAAAAAATGACTTTATAATGGCATTCAATTTGGAACATAAGTCTCTAGATGCCCTTGTGATGTTCTGTGAGAAAAGCCAGATGGCAAGTACACAGATACACAAAGGGTCTCCACACCTGGCGAACCCCCCCATCTTCCGTGTAAAGTGCCTGACATCATTCTGTTATTCTGATCAAGGGGAATGAATTTTTCACCCAAACCCCAACCAAAATATAAAATAAATGAAAGTTTTTGCAGAGCCTGGTTACTACAACTGTATTATAACAAATTCACTTTTTAGATGTTTTTGACCTGTGTAGTTTTCTGTCGTTGACAGTTGGAGCTGAAGTTTGAGAGTCAGGAAGCTCCATCTCCTTCTGAAAAGCTGCTGTGGAAAGACTTCCTCAAAGTTTGTAACTTTCATTCTTCTAATTTTTGCATGGCAGTGTTGTAAAATAGTGACATGCACATGCAATCACTGGGGGTGCATTAGAACAGTGTGAAACCTGGGTTTGTGACTACTGTGGAATCACCTCCACTACCACAGCACCACCTGGTGGCTGTCTGAGAGATAGAGGAATTATATTTTTTATTCAAAATGAATTATAAAAATATACAGTATCCCAACACCTGTTATTTTTTCTGTTTTTTTCTGCTACAGGTTCAAAAGAAAAATTATCAACAGAAGAAAGCAGCAAAGGAAGTGTACAGTGCTCAGAAAGACTCCTCAGAAAGTGAAGCCATCATGTCTAACTGGCTGAAGGTATCTAGGGTGAAAATCAAAATGTGCTGTTTCCATTTCTAGCATCATACAACTACAAGACTCACAAGAGTGAGTAACCAGGGAAGTGCAGCATATCCATGTTTGCATGTTGAATCTCTGTTCCCCTGCAGATTCGTGGTACTCTGAAGGGCTGGACCAAGCTGTGGTGTGTTCTGAAACCTGGAGCTCTCTTGATATACAAGAGCCCCAAGGTGGACCATTGGGTGGGAACTATCCTACTTAATGCCTGCACACTCATGGAAAGGCCTTCGAAGAAGGATGGCTTCTGCTTCAAGCTCTACCACCCTCTAGACCGCTCCATCTGGGCTATGAAAGTGAGGCTTGGCCATATCCTTATTCAAAGCTGTTTCTCATCATGTTCTTGCTCCAATTTTATATTGTGTCGAATCTCATTATTCCGCTTTTTAATATAACACAGGATTTTATTTGTGTGTGTGCCTGTCGCTGCTCCAGGGTCCACAGGGGGAGAACGTAGGCTCCATCACACAACCCCTGCCCAGCAGCTACCTAATCTTCAGGGCCGCATCAGAGCCTGATGGTGAGTTCTTGGCAGTCTCCAAGTGTGCGTCACAACTATACCCGTTGCTAAGGTCAGGAATATGTGGATATTATGTTACCCTTCTTTCTTAAATCTGACTATAAACAGATATAATACAGAAAAGAGCATGTGTGTTAGAGTTTGTGCACCTGCAGTTTGTGGCTTCAGCTCAGCTTCCTCTGTCTCCTTCTCCTTCCTGTGCTCCAGGCCGCTGTTGGATGGGCGCTCTGGAGCTGGCCCTCAGCTCCTCCAACCTTGACAAGTTCAACTTCAAAGCTAGTCCAGATGGGGACATTGCCTGCTCCTCTGAGTCATCACACATCTTCAATCTCCTGCGGTCTCCCTCCACTGACCATGTGCTCTCCCAGTGAGTGTGTACAGTACTTCCTGCAACGTGAATGCTCCTCCACACATAATGCCAGGAACAAGGACATTCAAACATGGCATCACTGATGCAAAACTGTAATGAAAGTGCCTGAGATCAAAGCTCAGGACAAGCAAGCTTAATGATTCACCAATAAAAATGATGAATAACGAAAATGAAATCTATGAATCGGAGTCAAAACACAAGTCATGTCCCAAAACCAATCCAATATGTCAAGTCAGAAATCAACTGTTCAGAAATCAGTAGAAGTCAGTCATAAGTCAACAGTTCTGCAGTGAGCATGCTCAGTACCTGACAATGGGGTTACTTAAGAGAGGTCCTTAGTTTAATCAGGGGATGTTCTACAGGTGCATTTAGAACTATCCTGAAACGGGACGTGGTCTGGTCAGGAGGCAGGAGTTACAAAAGAATTGCTTAGTATGTACACTTGTGATCTGAAGTAAACTAAATCAGTCCCGGGTTTACCAAGACAAGACATTCTTATTCAAGGAATCACAGAGCACCGATGCTAGTCCATTACAAAAACAGCACACAAAGTCACCCACTAAGTGTAATCTAACAGAGACAAATTTCACTGTATTACATCTTAAAATTGTTAGAGAGAATTAGAGAACCAAGAAAACATGTTCATTTTCAGTCTGTACACTCTTGGCAATGAAATGCCTATGGTGTTTTCCTAAATTTTTTCCATAATATCCATTCATGACATGAGTATATTCTTTTTCGTGTAACATCTGCACTGAAATCAGGGTGGAATTTGTCAGCGTTAAGTTCAGAGGTTTGATGAAAATGATCAAATCAAATGCTTATAATATTCAATAATAATAGTATAGTTTTATTCTCTGGTTTTAAGTTATACTTTTCTCGCAAAGGGTTTTTATTTGCATGTTTTTGAAAAAATTGCCGGTGTAACAGAGACGGCATTTTCCATCTGCTTTCTATGTGAAGTTCTTCGCAGGCTGATATTCAGGGGTCATGTGACTCATAGAAAAGGAAGGAGTGAACAGTACTAAGCTGAAACAGGACGGCGATAGCAAATAAACAGGCTACTGATAGAAAGGTTAGGGGACATTAGGCAGAGGCAGGAGGCACTCAGTCTACATGATTCCCTAAGAGCAATGATCATTTCCCAGGAAATATGACGTGACCTGATCTGGGATTTGTAAATGCTCTCATTTCCCACATCTTAGGGAGCTGCCTTTACATAGGAGGTAAGACACCCACTGAGCACAGAGCGTGAGTTTACTAGGCAGCTTAGAGTGTGTGAACTACATGCAATTCTGTTGTTATTCTTGCATAAAATAGAAAAACACATTGACACTCCAAGGTTGTGCCATTGCCAGTGGAATAAATGACTACTGATGCTTTAAGGTTCTTTTCTGACAACTTAGTATCTCTGAAGTAGCAGGAATGTAGCTCATATTGTTAAAGGAAAAAAATGTCAGTCACATTTTTAACTACAGCATTTCATAACTTTTTTATGATCACATAAATCTGATGATGTTTGTCATATAATATTTATGAGGAAATATTTTGTGAGGTTTTTCGATAAAATCCTCCCTAGATATTCCCTAGACATTCATTCTACACATTCCAAGGGGACAGTGGCAGTGGTTGCTGTGGAAACAGGGACTGTGTCATTCTGAAATACCTCTCTTTTGATTTACTGTACAGCAACATTGGCTTCTGTCATGCCTTACATATATCTAAACCTGAAACGTGATGATGGGGTGTATAAAGCCAGTTTCTAAGGGAATTTTTCATTTTTATTGTGCTATAAATGACATTTATTGACATTGTTTTTATGCAGACATATGTTGTAAAGAATACCGAATACTGTACGAAGAATACTGAATAAGAATCAGTTTAGGATTATGTGGTTTTAAGCTGAACTGTGACTAACATACATGTCATGTTTTGGAAAAAGGTTGAGTGAATCCATGGAGCAAGACTGCAACTCAGACAAATCAGAGAAGGAGACTCATGATTCAGACAACGGGCTGATTGAAGACGGTGGCCGATTGACAGAAGAGAGCGACATGGATCAATCCGATGACCTTCTCCACGACATTCAGGCTACAGTTTATGTTGAAGAAGAACGAGAGGAGATGGCAGAGGTAAATTCAGGGTGCTGGGGAGTCACACGATAACATATACTTGTGCACATTTAATAATGATGAGATTATTACTGAGATTAACATACTGTAGCTGCTACTGTACATCTTCTTCACATATGCTTGGGTCATTCAAGTTGCTGAATTATTAGTCTCCCTGTGTTTTTTTGATGAAGGTTGCCACTAGCCTTTGAGAATTGTCTTGTCCAGGGGAGTTTTGAATGTGGATTATAACTGAACCAATAATGAAGATGTATGGATAAACATTTAATGAATATTATAATGATCACATTGTACATGGAATTAATAATGTATAACATATATAATAGTAGTTTCTGTATCAAAATATGTAACTTTTCATGTGGAATTCAGTGACAGACTTTGAATGTTCAACTCTCAGGAGGTAGAGATGTCCCAAGTGGAGACAGTCTCAGAAGAGAACAAAAGTTTGATCTGGACCTTACTGAAGCAGCTGCGTCCGGGGATGGACCTTTCCAAAGTAGTCCTGCCCACCTTCATCCTGGAACCACGCTCCTTCCTGGACAAGCTTTCCGACTATTACTACCACGCGGACTTCCTCTCACAGTAAACATGCTAGCAGCTGAGATGTTTGAAGAAAACACCTGTATTGCCTTATTAGCTTATTAGCAGTGTGTGGCTCAGTGGGTTAGATCATAGCTCCAAAGCACATGGTTTTACTGTTGGGCCCTTGAGCAAGGCCCTTAACCCCCAATTGCTCTTGGAGACTGTCCCTGATCTCCCAATTGTATGTGACTTTGTATAATAGCGCCTGCTAAAAAAAATGTATAATACATAATTTGGCTTAATTAGAGTTTTTTTCTTTGTCCCCTTTGAATTATTTCTGTGACTTATCTCCTGAATCTTTTCTTCCAATCAGCCTTCATTAGACTTAATTAGCATGTTTGGTCAGATTTTGCAGAATAACAAGTGAATAAGGTGCTTTTACAGAATGGTCATTCTTTGTTCTGCGCTGGCAGGGCAGTGACAGCTGAGAGCCCTTACTGTCGGATAAAACACATCCTGCGATGGTACCTTTCTGGTTTTTACAAAAAGCCCAAGGTAAGCTCCAAACTCCAAAATCTCTCTTTTTATTGGAATCTTTGGATTTAACTTGAATTTCATAACTGTTCCTTTTCTTCATCTCACCTCCATTTTAATAGACCAATATGAAACAAGTAATCACAGAATTGTACTTAAATTGAGAAAAGAAAAAGGGAATGCTTCCCTGGATCAGAAAAATTTTACCAATCCTTATAAAAATTCAGGGTGCTCACCAGATTGGGGCTCTGAATGTCATTTGGGGAAAAAAAACAAGAAGCTGAGGCAACTCCCGCTGTAAGTTTAAAAAGCCTTTATTTGACACTGGCTACATGCCTATGTGTTTCGACTAGTGACTGTTCATGATGGCAGGCCTAACAGGCACAGCGCATTTAACAGGTAGGCGGAGGGATGAGCAGTCACATCACCCACCCTAATAGTCACATGATTTGATCCTCACTGCTGAAAAATAAGTATTCATGCTCATTTCATACTAATTTGAACTTTAATTTAAATTTAAACAATTTTATTTTGATGAACGTGTTGATGAATAGTTGAATAAAGACTGAGGAACTCCATTTTCTCTCCTGTGCCACGTCTCCGTCGCATTACAGGGAATGAAGAAGCCATATAATCCTATCCTCGGGGAGACGTTTCGCTGCTGCTGGCTACATCCCCAGGCCAGCAGCTGCACTTTTTACATAGCAGAACAGGTGAGCCAACCATTAGCACGTCGCAACCCGCAAACCATGGACCAGCCAATGAAGGTGTTTTCACTACAGTCACGTACCCAATCAAGATGCTAACATAATAGAAAAGCAATTCAGTCTTAGCTTAAAAGCCACAGCACAACAAGATCGGCTTAAAATTTGTATGTTGACATATTTATGATATAGAGGTATAGTTAAGATATAGTTTGCATAGTATTTACATTTTACTGTGACCTCAATGTGTATGTCATATGTGTCTGACACTGCTCATGCACTGTTTGTTTACAGTCTGGCCCTTTTCCTCTGCCGTAGGTGTCACATCACCCACCAATCTCTGCCTTTTACGTAAATAATAGGAAAGATGGCTTCTGCATACATGGGAGCATTCTGGCCAAATCCAAGTTTTATGGTACGCATGCATACCACGTTCTCCCAGTTAACTGTCCTTCAGTTTTTTCCCCAATAAACACATCAGATCATTTTTGTTTCACTTAAGGCAACTCTTTATCTGCAATACTGGATGGGAATGCAAGAGTGATATTACTAACCAGAGATGAAGAATATGTTATTACAATGCCATATGCACACTGTAAAGGTAAACTGATATATTTATTAATCTCACAGTTTAAAATAATTTTCTCTCTGCTAATGCAGAAATGTTTCATGTTAAGACATTGATTAAAGGAATTAAGTTTTGTAGCCTTTTGTTGTAGTAAATATGATGTGCATAGCGTCATAATGAACAGTTATTCTAACAAAATGTATTTAATACTTGTATTCACAGGTATTTTGTATGGCACCATGACAATGGAACTTGGAGGAAAAGTCACAATTGACTGTAAAAAAACTAACTATGTAGTAGATCTTGAATTTAAACTTAAGGTATGGTTTAACCCTGGAATGGGTGTTAAGGTTTTTTGAGGGCCAAATAATTTATGTCCCAGAAAATGATGTCATCTTTTCGCAGCCTCTTCTGAGTAGTAGCACTGTAAACCAGATTTCAGGGAAGATCCTCATCGGCGAAGATGTGCTGGCCACTGTAGATGGGCACTGGGTAAGAGGCGGTTGTCTTACATCTACTTATGTGAAGGATGTAATGCTAACAAGTAGTTTTTTTTTTGTTTTATTATTCCACCACGGAACATGTAGTAAAAATTTGTGTGGGATTTTTTTTGTGTTTGTAATAATAACTTTTACTTTTGAGACTTGTTATGTTAGTAAACTGCGAAATGAATATTACAGTATTTGTATTTCCAGGACAGGGAGGTATTTCTCCGTGAGAAGAAGACTGGCCACCAGGAGGTGCTGTGGAACCCTAGTCTGGAAGTGCGGCACCAGAGACTACAGAGAAAAGTTGTGCCGCTGGACCTGCAGGGGGAGTTTGAGTCTCAGAGGTACATAGTTATACTGTAGAGTGGATACTTTTGAGTCACATTAAGCACAGGGACCTAGGTGCTTGACATGACCCTGCATCTAAGCTTTGTACTTCTTTGACTTTCCTTTGGCTTGTGTGTCTTATCCTTTGCCTGTATTGAATGGATAATTTTCTCACATAATGAATGTGGCCATTCAAACAGTTAAGGATTTATTGCTTCCATCCAGACTCTGGCAGCATGTCACCAGTGCCATCGTTAACCAGGATCAGGAGCTAGCCACACAGGAAAAGTTTGTCCTTGAGGAGGCCCAGAGGCAAGAGGCTAGACAGCGAGGCGACATCGCCTGGACTCCCCGACTCTTCACACTCGATCCCACCACCAACGAGTGGCGCTATAAGCATGCAGAGTATGTGCTTTTTTGGACATGGGGGGATCAAAGAATGCCTAGAGGTGAAGAGACCACCATATAATAGCTACAAATAAATAAAAATAGGTGCTGATGATATTCAATGTCTAGAGCTTCCTAAAAGTGGTTCAATGTGTCCCACCATTTTGCACAGAACAGCTAAAAACCAATGTTACACAGTAATAAAGAGATCTTGCTGTTATGAAAGACTCTTGTCCTAAATGTATTAGCAGCCAGTAAAGATGGGGATTCTGTTTTGTCTTGGTAACATATATATGTGCCTCTCCCTCTCCAGCACTAATCCATGGGATGCTGATACCTGCCTTGCCCAGTTTGAGAAGGACAACGTGATCCAGACCAAGGAGCGGCAGCAAAGGCAGCAGAAGGAGTCGTCCTACGGTCAGAGCTGGGCTGTTCGGAAGGAGGTGGGATCTCCTCCCCAAGTTAGACAGCATTGCTTCATCCATAAACAGCAACATAGCTTCATTTCAACTGCTTTCCCTGTATTCTGAGAAGAACCTTCAGAAGAGTATTCTGTTTGAATTCCTGATGAGAAAGGACAGCAAGAAAGTAAGGTGTTATTGGCGTGAATGTGTCCACATGGCAGGCCCACACGCGTGACAAACGGAGGAAGCCCAACTACAGCCAGAACACGGAGAGCAGCACTTCCACACCTGAGCCCTTGCTGGAATCCTCTGACAATGAAGGCATGCAAGCAGACTTCCCCAGATGGCCCATTCTCTAGTTGAAAGAAATCTGTGGGTTTTGTTGAATCTCATGTGTGCTTTTTTTCTACTTTTTCTGTTGTCATTATTCAGAATTCTTGACCCAGTGTGCCAGATGTAACAAGGAACTGAGGGACATGGCTCAAATTGAGGCCTACATAGCATCGATACAGAAAACACAGAAGGACATTCAGAGGTTGGTCACATATCTCCTGCTCCACCCAATGTAGCATCTGACAGTGCTTAGGGCAGGGAAGTACCAGCCCTCAAAAAGTCCTATGACTTGTTTTTAATCCTTATTAAATCTGGCCTGCTGATTGGTTCCAGGGAAAATATAAGACGGCAGCTTTTACTATTGTCGCCCCCTGATCAACAAAGTTCACTGTGGCCCTCCCCAACCCCGCCTGGCTGCAAGTTTTAGCAGATTATACTAGTATACAGTAGGTGGCCCACTTCAGCTGAAGACCTCTTAACTAGTGCACTCCGGGTTTCCTGAGTTTTAGACCTGTGGTTTATGGTATTTAATGGCATCAATCGCAATGATTTGCTCTTTCAATGACAACAGCCTGCCATCTCCTCTATGTTGCATTTTTCCAATGACCCCAGGAATCTGCGAACCCTGAGACAGCAGATCCTTCACAGCGAGGACTCAGGGGAGAACATCGCCTTCAGTGGCCGCTACTTTGTGATCCTCTGTGTGCTGCTCCTGTTCCAGCTGTTCATCAACTATGTGTATACTTGAGAAAGAACAAGGCTTCTACGCTTCTTAGCAATCAGTATACCAGTGAGAAGACAGCACTGAGCACTTTGGAGACGGACCAGAGGAATAATGAAAGAAAATGCATTGTGACTGGAAAGATTTTATATTCCAAGATGGTGCATACAATCCCTGCGATCATGTTTTTGTGAGTGTGTGTTTTACACATATGTGACTTATTTTCGCTAAACATGAAGTCAAGACAAATACCAAAAATGTTAAATAGCAACAAGGACATAAAGGTCCAGCTGTGCAATTCATAGGTTATTTAGGAAACAGTATTTATCCTTTTTTAAGAGGGTATATTTAACTGCGAAGTCTTACATATTGTGGCATGGATTTCTTAACAAATACAAACAACATCTGTGATTAATGAAAGAACATGAATTAGTCCTGACAAAGCAAAAGTTTTTTTTTTATGATTATTTATTTATTTTTAACTGTAAGGGGATTTAACATCTGTACTGCTGGTATTTTTAAACAAATGAATTAATTAAAAAATTGACACAAATTTTAATTGAGTGGCAAAGAACTGGAAAAATGTTTATTAAAGGAGAAAACTGCTTTTAGCGAGACGTTTATCTTTACTACATGGAGATGCTTAGTCCTGTATATACAGAAAAAAATTCTGCGATATATATATCTGTGTCTTTTTATTTATAAAAACAAATTTAATTAAAAATTTACTGGCAATAATTTTTTTTTAATTCCATGTTTCTGGCCCTTGGTCTTTCAAAAGTGTGCATTAATAGAAATGGTATCATATGACTCCTTCCAGTGTAGAGAACAGTATGTTTAAACAGTCATTTAAGCTTACTGTAAATGATTACATTAGATTAGAGGAAAACAACCAAATATTACCTCTAAATTGTAGGCTGTAGAGCAAATTGCCTGCAACTTTTTAAAACTTTTGGCAGTCATTTATTCAGGAAATCTTATGAAAAAATGTAAAAAAGTTCATACAAACATTCTGTTCCAGGGATAGTCAGGCCACCTCTGCCCCATACCACTCTTGTATGTGGGCCAGTGTGTCACCCTACAGGTGACATACCATCATCATCATCATCATTGATACTGTCATCCGAAGGTCATTGGTTCAAGTCCGTTGGTTTGCATAGTGATGCATTGATGCATTAAGTCCAATTGCTCCAGAGGCGCTAGACGCTCGCTGATTCTGTAATCAGACCCTAAAATTTACTCTCACCTGTATTTATATCTATGTCTCATGGAGAGCAAGACTGGGTATATGAAAACTACCCAATTTCCCCATGTGGATGAGTTAAGTATCTCTTTTATTTTTATTTTTATATAAGAGCGATGACCAGTGGCCAAGCCCTGAGCAGGACCCAGGCTTGGAGCTGCTGGGGCAACTTCCTTGTCGTTGAGGCCCAGCTGACTAGCAGTTGCAATTATGGCTCCTCCGAACTGCAAAGCTGACCATAAAGATGCTGCTGTTTCGTGTATCATCAGAGAATACTTGCTGCTTTGTTGGCTGTATGTCTCTCCAGTGCACACTATTAAAGTTGCTGAATCAAACTCTAGGTCTCCTGGTTCTTATCCATCTCAGAATCCAACTGCCTGCCTACCTAGTGATTTTAGTGTGAGAAAAGAAGTGGTTAAAACTTTTGGAATTAAAAAAAAAAGAAGTGGTTAACAAGAAGTGGTTAACAATGAAATAACAGAAAAATTTAGGGGACATATCAATCAAGTGAACGTGTAAGTCACCAAGCAAATTCTCTGGACTCATTTCTTCTCATCATGTTACCCATATTACCTCCATCAAGAATATATCAAGGAATTTTTACATTTCCTTTTAAACATGAGTTATATACTTTGCAGTCTATAACTGGCTGGACATTACTGGTTTGAAGGCTTCATGAAAAGAAATCCCAGCCTCAGAATGAGGAAGCCTGAAGCTCTTTCTGCAGCTAGAGCTGCATGTTTCGATCCCACAGTCGTTCAGCAGTGGTTTGCAAACTTTGAGGAGCTGTTGTGTGAACTAGAGATTCAGGATGTGCCAATTGTGATGAAACTGGGCTCCAGGATCATTTTATCTCGTCCAAGGTAATTTCTGAGGTAGGGACCCCATGTTACCAAATAACAGTGAGTGAGAGGGGTGAGACAAGAACTGTTCTGGCCAGCCTAAATGCTGCCGGACAGTATGGTCCCCTCTTAATAATCTTTAAGGGGAAACGGCTCAGGGCAGAGTGGCTGTTTGGGGTTCCAAACAATGGTATGGTGAAAGTGTCTTACAATGGTTAGATAAACTCTGAGCTGTTCTTGGAGTGGAGCAGACAGTTTGTTGCCACACTCCCAAAGGATGACCTCCGACCACATGTGCTACTGCTTGATGGACACAGCAGCCATGTTTTCAATCTGGACTTCCTCATGCTAATGAAGAACTCCAATGTGCATGTAGTATGTTCTCCACCTCACACCACACACATTTTACAGCCAGCAGATCGGTCCCTCTTCAAAAGCTTAAGACATAATTGGAACCTGGAGGGCCAACATATGACCAGGCAGACCGGAGGAAAGAAGCTACAAAAGGCAGATTGTTTTGCTATTTTCTCCAGAGCATGGGAAAAAAACAGCAATTGTACAGACTGCTCAAGCTGGATTTAGAGGGAGTGGTATTTACCCAGTCAATTTAAATGCCATCAATCCCTGTCATTTTGCCCCAAGCATGACCACAGAGCGGGTAATAGATTGTACCTGCAACACCATTTACCATCATACCCAGGACTCATTTCACTGTCCTCCACCAAGCTCTCCTCAGCACTTATCACCACCAAGCACTGCTTCTCCCAGTGGAATGGAGATGTTAACTACATGCCAATTTGTGAAGTTGAGGTGGGAACTGCAGGAACCAGCTTTGCAGACTTTATCACAATACCTACCCGTGAAAGGTCCACTGTAAGAAACAGGGTAAAGCCCCAATCGTACAACTTAACAAGCAGAGAGCACTTTGAATTCATCAGAAAAAAGGCTGAAGCAAAGGCAGTGTTGAAGTCCAGAGCCATTAACAAGAAAAAATATAAGCAAACCAAAGCACAGAATACAACACAGGTCCCGTGTGCTGTGTGCAGAGGGGTATATGGAAACAAAGATGATTCCAAGTGTACAGAGGAATGGATTGGCTGTGTAGTTTGCCATAGATGGTTTCACCAAAGCTGCGGGGAGGAAAATGGTATCATTGATGATGATGATTCCTTCACGTGCAAAGACTACTTTTAGGCTATCTGCAAGGCACAGAAAACAAGGAAAAAAGTTGAATTTTTACATTTTAAAGTTCAGTTAATTTTTATTGAAGAAGCATTCAAAAAGTTGTTACTGTTATATTTTAAAAAGTTGACACAATGAAATATGAAGTTTTGTGATAAAATCTATTAGGCCTATTTACTGTTTGTGTAAGCTTTGCATGTAATGAATTTAAGTATTTTCAATGACTATTTTTGATTAAAACTAAAATTTATGTTCAGCTCTCCCTTGAGTTGTTTTGTCTATTAAATTCGCAAAACCCTTTGCAAATTTTTCAGTATTGATGTATTGAATAAACACCTGTCCCACATTACCTGAAATGCGTCCCACTTCACCTTACGGGTGCAGGGAGTGTTTAGACCTGTGTGACGGCCCCCATAAGCAATACATTTCATAATTTTCTTTTGATTTGATAAGTAGACATCTTAAGGATTGCAGAAAGGTATCATATGTGGGTTAATTACATTAGGTTAATGTTTCAACAGGCACTAGAAATCAAAATGGGAAAAAGTTTCCCACTTCTACTGAATTCACCCTATATCAGTACGCCCAAGGCGGGATGTCTGAAAATAAATACGGTAGAAGGTTGCTCTAAGTATCAGAGAGAAAATCGCTTTTAATACGAACTCTGTATTATACACCGTTTGTTTAGTACAAACGCACAATATGTCAGGATTCGTATTTCTTTAATTCATATGCCATAGCTCATGACCATAGTGTGCAAACTGGGAGAGCTACAGTATACTAAAATGGCGTTATTACGAATCGCTACTTAACATTGTGATATCAAGTGTATCTGATACAAAAATGCTAGATACGAATAATAAAGGCTTATCTCTGTATAACAGGGAAGTAACAATGCCTACGTTGTTATGGTAAAATACACAGTGGGGGAAATCTGTAGCTTTGTTTTTAAACTTTCGGTTTAAACACAGCGGCCGACCGGCAGAAGTAAGTTTACAGAAGTGTTAAGTCCTCGCCCCTAAGATCAAAGTCCCAGACTCAGTTCTGAAGACCATTTAGAGCTAAAGTGGACGCGAAAACGACTTCTTCACCATACTGGCATCCAGATGTGTCACCTTTCCTCAGACTGCGATGTAATTTCATCAGGAAGAAATGCGTGAATCCCGACGCTGACACGGAAGAGATTGACGGCTTTTAGTGTGTGCAGAGTAAGCAGCTGCTTTTAGTTAGAATAGCATATATTGGCAGGTGAACACGTTTAAATGTGTACATATATATGAACGAACGTATAATTCAAATATTGCCAATAACATTTGTGATTTTTCCTTATTCAGCATCCGGTCAGTGCTTTTCTGGACTTTCTCTGGTTAACGTTACTCCCCCGCGCCCGAAAACATGTCGGACCCAAAACCGCATTCAAAGACAAACACCCCGGACTCAGAGTCCGCTAAAAAACTGAACAGAGTGCTCTGTGTCACCTATCTAATAGCGACACTGGACATCACATGGCTCTTCGTCCAGTTTTCTATAACTCCCGTAAGTAAAACGAAATATGATCCATTTAGTAATGAAAGCGTTTGAGAGACATGCATGTCTGTGTTACTGGATTATCAAAAAGTAAATACATTATCAGGCATACTGAGTACAGGCTTCATTATTTAATATATATGTTGTACAGAACATATCTTGATATTACATGGAAGTCGTGTTATCTACAAGTAACACTTCATGTCTTACATTCGTTGTTGTATTTGATGCATACATTCTTGTGTTTCCCTGAGCAGTACTTGGCAAAAAGGCTGGGATTTGACACCTTGTGGTTTGGATACTTACAAACCATGGTAGGAGTAATTCAGCTTTTGGGAGGCCCTATATTTGGCAGGTAAGTATATTTTAAATTCACTTTTCAGCTGCTCTTCTGTGCAAAAAAAGTGGACTTTTCAGAAATGGGTTCATTTAGTCCAGGACAATGTTGATTCAGGCTGGGCCTATTGAGTAAAACTTGAATACTTGATTGCCTTAATATAAGCCACAGACTTCAGTTTGGCAGCATACAGGTCTGGGTTTTCATATTCACTCAACTGTGCAATTTCCTGTTGAGCATCAACTCATGCTAGCACACATTAATTTATGTTTACATTTATTTATCTTTTGTCCAAAGCAACATACAAGTGAGGCAGGTATTACATCACAAGCATACATCTGTCAAGAAGCTAACTTGGGTATTAGTGCAATCAGGGGAGTTTCTAGCTCTTGAAAGGACCAGGGACAAAGTCCAGATTACCTGGGGCTTGACCTTCTGCTTTTTTTTTATTATTTATTTTTGAAGGAAGATTGGCTGGCATTGGGCCTAACATCCCCGGGGCTATAGCCCCGAATGATCGGACCTAACGACACGCATGAGTTTCTAACAAGTGACCTGTAACAAGTGCAAGTTAGTGTCAGAGCAAGAGCTATGCAATCCAACATAAAACTTAATACAAGGTCCCAATCATTCAGAAACATAGTTTGTCTTGAGAGTCCCCTTATTGTGTATGGTGGCTCTGTGATGGGGGAAACGTGCAGTGACAAGCTATGCCGGTTGCAGGTTTGCTGACCTGTTCGGGGCACGGACAGCCCTGGCTCTCTCCTCTTTAGCCTCTGTGGTGTATTTCATCCTGCTGGCAGTGGCTAACAGCGTCCCCATGCTCTTCCTCCATAAGCTGCCAGCCATCTTCATGCACGCCTTGCCAGGTACTCGGGACACCCCCCCCCCCCCCCTATTTATGGCACACGTTTCTCAGGCATACGTTTACAATGTGTGTAACACCTGTTGAAGCACCTACAGTATCACTGGCTTAAGTAATTGGTAGAATAATGCTTGATATCCCTGAATGAGCTGCACTTACACCATATGTAAATGTTACATATATACTATGTAACTGTGTGACATGGATGTTGAGAATGGCAGAGATCACTACTGTGCTGCTACCCTACTCCACATTCTCATCCTTCATCAGCCTCACACATCTTTTATGCAGCAGTTTACAGTTTTTCTCAGACACTTTGGTACATTTCTTGAATCATTGTACCTATTATTAATATAGTAACTATATGGTATACTGTACACTGTAAAATACAAGTGGAATACTGCATTACGAAGCATTACAAGTAAGTATACAATATTACAGTACAGTGCGCATTGTGGGATTACGTACCTGTTGTTTCTATGAAATGTTTGAATGACTGAGAACACAGTTGTTCTCTCAACATTCAGCTGTAGTCTTTGACCAGCCTCGGCCATTGTAATTTCTATAATTTCTCTATAACCAACTGAATTTGGTTGTGTATCAAACTACATGCACTTACTGTATGTTGTAGAAACCATTACAAGGTTCTACCAGATTGGTTTTTTCTGCAAGAGAGGGATACAGTACCTTTTGTAGGGGAGAATATATTTTTATTCGAGACATAACACATTACAATGTTGCACACAGAATCAAACATAAATCTGTATATTTTTAAAAATCACTATCCTAACCCTCTCTAACCACAAAACAGGGACAAAAATGCCATACACGCAGAAAACAAATGGCAGTCACTCCCTACAACCCTTACACCCATACACACACACACACAAATATATATGCACAGTATTTACACTGGCGACCAAATCCAATCCGTAATATATAGTAAAATAGTAATAGTAAAATAGTAAAATAGTCGATAATCAGACAGTAGTCAAAACACAGGTAAACAAATATACAAGCCGAGTAACCGAAACCAATTTGAAAACTAAAAGCGCGAAAGTCAAAAGCCAAAAACAGATCATAACAGTAAATCAGAAATACAATAAGCAAAAGGCAAAGCAAAGGCAAAGCACGAGCAAAAGCTGTCAGATGAGGTGTTCAGGCATCTTTTTTAATCCGGGGCTGGAGAGGCGGGAAACGGTAACGAGGCGATGACAACCAGTCCATCCAGTTTTGGCACGGCTTTTGTGGTGAGAGATGGAAACCGGAAGGAACCGGAATCAGCAGTTTGACGGAATGGGATCTAAAGGAGAGAAGGAATGGACACACACACATACAGACGTAACAATGTCCTGTCACTCCTGCTGGTCAAGCCACATATTTTTCATCTACATCACATGCAGTATGATATGCTCCCTTGTAATACATCGAGGAGAAAATCTTCTTTCGTGCCTTAATCACCTTCTAGAAGAATCTGCTGGGATGCCATGACTGGCTGCTCCCATTGCAGCAAATAAAGAAACCTGGTTGTGTGGCTGGTGACAAGCAGTTTCTAATTTTATCATCCTTTTTTTTTTTTACTATTTGTCTTATATTTTGCCATTGAAGGAACCTTTCTGAGAACTTCAGTACAGTTTTTCTTGCTTGGCACATTTCATGACTCATTCTCAAGACTATAAGAGCATTTCTCAATACCGTTCATGCATGTAGCAGAACACTGTGGTTTAGCTGCAAAGCCTGTAACTTAACCCAAAACAATTAATTCATGCTTTAAAAGCAAATAATTCCACAAATGAATTAGTCAGTGCCACCAAAATAAAAAGTACAATCAGCATCGTTTTACACCATATGAGTTGAAAGTATGCACCATATTCTCAGTCACTGATTGATCTTTAGCAAACTGATACTTATTCATGTCAAAAGCACCAGTTTCAACATTGCAATACTCTACATTACAATATGTAAAGTTCACTGACGAGAAATAACTTGCACTTCTTCAGATCTCACTCAATATAATACCAAAGAAAAAGGTCACACAGCACTATATAATACAAAAACAGCATGTACTAAAACATTTGGAAATTTGTGTGAAGCAGTGAGAAATGATGTTCTGCTGACATTATGGTGTGGGGATTACACTTGAGGGCAATGTGGTGGTGCAGTGGTTAGCTCTGTCACCTCTGGGACCTGGGTTCAAGACTCTGCCAGGGTTCTGTGTGTGTGGAGTTTGCATGTCCTCCTCGTGTCGTCCTGGGATTTCCTCCAGGTTTCCCCCCACAGTCCAAAAACATGCTGAGGCTAATTGGAGTTATCAAATTGCCCCTAGGTGTGGATGTGTGGGTGAATAGTATGTGATTGTGCCCTGCAATGGGTTGGCACCCCATCCTGGGTTGTTTCCTGCCTTGCACCCGTAGCCTCCGTTATAGGCTCCAGACCCCCCATGACCCTTAATAGGGCAAGAGGTTTTGGAAAATGAATGGATGAGAAACGGGGTTACACTTGTTGTTTTGCAAATTATAATTGTCATTTGAGAAATGCTCCAAAGCAACTGTAATTCAAATATTTTTTTATAATAGAATACCTATGAGTGTCTACCGTTTTGACACTCATAGGTATTTGCCACATGAGTGATACAACAGATTTTTGGGTGTATTCAAAGTGAATATACCAAAAGTGACTGAAAACAATGAGAAATTGCATTCTGTTGTGAGAGACTGACTGAAGGGTGTGCAGGTTTACATATGTGGTTATGAGAAGTACCATTTTCATATGAGAATTTGTCCAAAGCAGCTGTGAAAAGCTGTATTTCATCAGAAACGTGCCTATGTCCTTGGCCTCTTCTACTTCTTCCTCTGTTTTGCCTTCTAACCCTTCAATCATGCAGCCTTACTCTTTGCCAGCTGTTGACCATGTTCTTTTCTTTATTGTTTTTCTGTTGTCAGAATTTGTAGCACTGTGATGTTCTGTGTCAATATATGCTTGCCAGCTGAAGGGTCATGAGATGCACCTCTGAGCAATTTTTGAAAACTGATCGATCATTGGTTGATCTAAAGCTTCAAATATTCCCCTCCATTGGTGAAAGCCAACCATTTGTTATGTAATGATTTATGTAATGAACTAATGCCTAGATGTTTTGGGGAAAACAGCAGATTATTGTACTTAATCATTTGTATGAATGTGCCAAAGCATTTATGATTTTTCGAAAAGAATGAGACATTTTATGATGTGTACAACTGACTTAATGATGTGGAGGATGGACAAGTAATATTGAGAATTTCAGTTCTGATCTGAGAAATACACCAAAGCAACTGCAAAAAAACTGTAGTAATACTCAACAGCTGCATCTCTGTTCCTATGGGTTCTTTAACAGTTTCCAGGCACCACTTGCTTTTTCAGTCACCCATACATTTCTGGGGTAGGCTTCCTGAAGCTTTCTTAACGTTACATCATTCACAAGTTCTGCCTTAAGTTGTACCTTAACATTTAAAGGAACCCAAAGATTCAGCTTGCACTATGTTATCAGGAAGACTATTCCATACTCTGACTACACGCTGTGTAAAGAAGTGCTTCCTTAAATCCACTTTGAAATGTTCTCCCGCTAATTTCCACCTATGGCCACGAGATCTTGTATTTGAACTAATGCTGAAGTAACTATTCGGTTGAACAGCATCCAAACCTGTTAGACTCTTATAGACCTGGATCATGTCCCCCCTCAGTCTCCTTTGCTTGAGGCTGAACAGATTTAGCTCAACTAACCTTTCCTCGTATGACATCCTCTAAGACCAGGAATCAATCTTGTGGCCCTACGCTGCACCTTTTCTAAGGCCGCAATGTCCTTTTTAAGATATGGTGACCAAACCTGCACACAATATTCTAGGTGAGGTCTCACCAAGGAATTGTATAATCTTAGCATTACCTCCCTTGACTTAAACTCCACACACCTGGAGATATACCCCAACATCCTATTGGCCTTTTTTATTGCTTCCCTGCACTGGCGAGAATGAGACATGGAAGCATCAACACACACACCAAGGTCTTTCTCATAATAGCTACCTTTATTTCAGTAGGTCCCATAAAATACCTGTACTTTATATTTCTGCTCCCTACATGGAGTACCTTACAGTACATTTGTCTTTGTTAAATTTCAACATAGAACTTAATTCACTCCAGAAGGCTGGTCGACTTGCGATTTGGTCAAGTTGAATTTCCCCACAAGAAATAATGTAAATGAATAATAATAATTGTTGTTGTTGTTTATTATTATTATTATTATTATTATTATTATTAGTATCATTACATGAATAATAATAATAATCTGTTCCAGACCCCCAAATGATTTTTTTAAGCCTATTTAAACTTATCTACCTACTTAACTAATGGTAAAAAACATTAACAATCAATATACAGTAAAATGAATACACTCATGAAAAAGCACACATACAAAAGAAATAAACATCATGAATAACAATCCCATACTAAAAAGCGAGAGCAACCTTCAAGTCCCGCTATATTTTCCTTTTTAAGTTCTACAGTTACTCTCAACACTTCACTCTTTGGTTTGCTGATGTCACTGCAAACTTTATTAGGGCCATAATTTCTGTATCACTAAATGTAGGACTGTAGATAAAGCACCAAAAAAACAGAACACAGCTTTCGCATGTTGAACTATAGCTAGGTCTAGAAGCATCGCAAGACTGAGAGCGATTCATAGGCATGAAGTATATGTGTTGTTTATATGTTGTTTGAAGTATATGGCCCCCTTTAGAGGTCCCTTTTACTCAGGCCCATATTTGCACTGTAATACTCTCAAATGCTTAGGCCAAACAAAAGCCAGCTTGACCTCCTGCCGTCATGGGTCCTAAACCTGCACCTACTGTAGTATTGTGTGGTGGACACTGCTGCACACAGTTAGCATTTCTCTCCTCCAATATCCTCTCCTCTTCTCTCGTCAGGGACTCAGATGGTCGTGGCAGACCTGACAGAGCCGGAGAAGCGGGCAGCAGCCCTGGCCAAACTGGGCCTTTGCTTTGGATTTGGGATGATCACAGGCTCCTCTCTGGGGGGCACGCTCAGCACACACTATGGGTATGTTCTTTGCTTTGTCCCATCGCCCCCCAGGCTTGCTTGGAAGGTTTAAAAATCACTGCTATAAAAGCAGAAGCCGCCTTTGCTCAGTATAGATAATACAACAGGTGTTCCAGTTGTGCAGTTTTCAGATGGTGATCTTAATTAATGCTTAATTAATGTCGACGGAGCTGGAAAATAGCTTGCGAATGTCACCATCGGTGTATAGACTATGCATATAAGTGTAGCATGAATTCTAGCTAGAGAGTCTACCTCTTGGTTCTGGCTTTTATGTGGTTTGCATACATGAATTAGATATTATTGAATAGACATCTAGCTGCATGTTGGCTTAATTCAGCAGGGTTTAAGATCAATGTTGTAGTGCAAGTGTTACATCTGTTACATCTTCTTCCAGAGTTAGACAGAAAATCTTCAACAAATTAAGATAAACAGTTTTTCTTGATTGCTTTGGCACATTTCCTGAAACATTCTCAAGACTATAAGAGCATTTCTCAAAACAGTTCATGCATATCACAACACTATGGTTTAGTTGCAAATTTACCCAAAACAATTATCTCATGTTTCAAAAGCAAATGGTGCCACCAAAATGAAAAGTACTTCACTGGCAAGAGAAAGCACTCACATGCACATGTATCTTTATCAGATTTCAAGACACAGTATAATACCAAACAAAAAAGTCACACAGCACTGTATAATACAAAAACAGAAAAATGGCATTACAAGAATAACAAAATCATGTATTGTGGGGACCAAAAACACAACAATGCTGTCACTGCAGTTTATGGAATATATTTTAAATCATCCTAAAAACTTGGTTAACGGTTTTGCATGTGGTGGCTAACACTATGATCAGGTCAGGTCAGGATGGGGAGCATGCGCTGATGCAGAGCGTTGCAGCACCCACCACATGGCAAAACTCCTCGGGATCCCAGCAGGCGACCCCCCCAGGCAGACACACGGTCCAGTCCCACACTTGGGAAATGTCCATCCATCTGCTGCAGCTAGGTGTTACGTGAGCGTCCCCTTGGCCTGGTCCAGTCGCTCGGGTCTTCAGCAATGAGGATCCTGAGAGCCGGTTCACTCTCAGGGAATCGCTCCACATGGCTGTAGTGCCATAACTGATGCTCCCTCACAATGCAGGTAATGTGCCTCATTCGGGACTCTTCTAGCAACTGCTCATTCGACACAAAGTCAAACCAGCAGTACCTAAGGATTCTCTGAAGAGACACAGTACCAGAGGAGTCCAGTCTTCGTCTCAGCTCACTCAATAGCGTCCAAGTCTCACAGCCATACAGCAAGACAGGGAGAACCAGGACTCTAAAGACTTGGACCTTCATCCTCTTGCAAAGATATAGAGAGCACCCACACACCCTTTGGTCTTCATCTCGGACACTCGCAATACCAAACACTCAGACTCCTTGCTTAGTCTCTCGAGAGCCCCAATCAGAACCTCCATTGACTCCACTAAGATCACAGCATCGTTGGCAAAGTCAAGATCAGTAAATCTTACTTCACCAATGGATGCCCTACAGCTGCTGGACCCCGCAAACCTGCCCAATACCCAGTCCATACAAGCACTGAACAGAGTAGGAGCAAGAACACACCCCTGATGAACCCCAGAATCAACTCGGAAGAACACGGAGGTTCTCCCTCCACTCTGCACAGCACTCACAGTACCAGTGTGCAGGCCAGCCATGACGCCCACAACTTCGGGGGGATCCCGTGAAGTCTCAGGATGTTCCACAGGGCAACTCGATCAACTGAGTGAAACACTTTACAAAAATCAACAAAGGCAAAAAAATGTCTGCCGATATTTGCGCTTGCGTTCGATGAGAACCCTCAGTGCTGGGATACGGTTGATGGTAGACATGGAGATACCACAGATCCCTGCTGCCTTCTCTACCCCCAGCTGATTCACCACCCGTGCAATCTCGGTGAGATTGAGTGGTTCACAGCTGACTGATCAGCCTCAAGTACTGTGGACCTAGAGATGTCCAACATCTTAGCTGGTAGGTCTGCTTTAATCAACTGCTCAAAGTAGCTGGCCCAGCGGGTCATAACGGCAGTGTCATCTGTAAGGACTGTTTCATCACCTGCCCTGACTGCAAGTCTTCGAGGAACAGATTCAGATGTGTGTAATGCTTCGAAGCAGGACCTGGGTCACTAGACCACAGATGATGTGTCACCTGACACCTCACAGATTCGTCTAACAAACACCTCCTTATCTGCCCTCAGAGCCCTCACAGCCGTCCTACTCAGATCCCAGTACGGACTGGAGTTGTCACCAAGTCATGCGCTGCAACTCCTCTCGATAATATGCAGGGTAATATCCTTTTCGGAACACTGGCATCGCCTACACAATCCTCGTCAACCTTCAGGCTCTTACCACGGAAGGTCTCCCACATTACATTAGAGTCAGCAGTCGCACCCAGGTCTGTAAGTTCCTCACATAAACTGTGTGCAAACTCATCAAAAACTGCTCAATCTTGGACTCTGGCAAAGTCCAGCCTCATTCTCCTAGTAGGTGGTAAGCTACTGGATCTAAGCTGAATCTTCACAGTAGCAACAACAAGTCTGTGATCATAATTCACAAATTGGGCACTTCTGTAGACCCTGCAGTTCTGCAGGAGCCTCCAGCATCTGCCCATGTGGATGTGATCGATCTTCTTCACCACACCACCAGTATTGGAGTACCAAGTCCAATGATGTGGCTCAGGACGTTGGAACCTGGATCCAGCGACCCGCAGCCCCTGACCTTTCACAAAGTCAGGGAACATGGAGCCACTCTCACCCTGGTCTCCAAAACCATGGGGAACGACACAATCCTTATAGCCAGCTCTGTCAGTGCCAGTGGTCACATTGAAATCACCCATGACCAGAGGAGTGTCACCTCGTGGGCACCCATCAACCACTGAGCGAAGTTGTGAGTAAAATGTCTCCTTCAACGAGACATTACTCACCGTGGTCGGAGCATGCACTGAGACAACAGCCAAGACACTCAAGGAGTGCCTTAGTGTCAGTCTCATAATACACTTGTTGCTCCTGTATCTTTTGCCTGATGGCAGCAGTTGGAATAAGTCATGAGCGGGATGTGAGGAGTCTTTTAGGCTGTTTTGCGCTTTTCTGAGGCAGCAAGAGCTGTGCAGTTCTACAGAGGTGTCGTCTGCAAATTTGACGATTGTGTTGCTGTGGTGGGTGGGGGCGCAGTGATGTGTGTGCAGAGAGAAAAGCATGGGGCTCAGCACACAGCCCTGAGGAGAGCCGGTACTGATGCTGATGGCTGAGGAGGTGTGGGAGCCCACCCTAACCCTCTGTGTGCGTTCTGGTGGAATATGGAAGTCCAAGGGCTTACAGCTTATACACCAATCTGTGAGGGAGGATGGTGTTAAAAGAAGAGCTAAAATCAATAAATAGGACATGTACATAATGTACATCGCTCCCCTGGAGCTCCAGATGGGACAGGGTAGCATGGAGAGCAACAGCGTCCTCAGTAGACCTATTCGCCCTGTAAGCAAATTGGTCTCTCAAAGCACTTCATCAGCACCCTTGCGATAAAGGACTCTGTGTCAGGATACCGGCTCTGTTGGCTGCTAATGCTACTGTATAAATGTCTCAGAGCCGAGTTAGCATTAGCAGCTGGTGGTATGTAAACCACGGTGATCATTACCACATTAAACTCCCGCAGTAAGTAGATGGGTCTGCATTTCACGGTCATGTACTCCAAATCCGCGGAGCAATGACTGTCCACTATCTCTGCATTCGTGCACCAGTTGTTGTTAATGTACACACACAGACACCCCCGCCTCTGCTCTTACCGGAGGCTGAAGCTCTATCATAGCGCCGCGATGTGTAGCCTGTTAGCTGGATAGCCGAGTCCGTTGTGCATGAATGAAGCCAGGTTTCTGTGAACATAAACAGGCAGCTGTCCTTGATCATGTGGTTCGATGCAACCTGTAGCCTCAGTTCATCTAACTTGTTGACAATGGATCTGGCGTTGGCGAGAAAAACGAACGAACAAAACCCAAATGTAACTGAACTAGTAAAAACAAAGAACACCGTAACAACAAGTCCTACACCTTACTCCCTAACCAAACCACAGTATACACAGAGTCTTTCAAACAAAACGGCAATCACTCCCTACGCACCAGACACACACACAGCACATACACAGAGTAAAGCGTCAGAGTCCAAGGGGCGCGCAAAGTCGTAAACAAAAACCGGGCGAAAGATTGAAAACCAGAAACCAAACAAACTAGGGCAGAAGTACAGAGAAAGGGCAAAGCGAGAAATCGTAATCCGAGAAACCAAAACCGTCATACACAATAATCAAACCAATAAGCAAACCAAAGACAATCCAAGATATGAGCAGAGCTCCAGAAGGTTCTTTCTGTCCGGCTTTTCACTTCCGCCGGACGGAAGTGACGGCCAGTCTTGCGGGGAATCGTGGGCGGGGTCCAGACGGGGAGGCGGAGCTAGGGCCGAGCCGAGTGGTCCTGGTCGTGGCCGGAGCCGAACAACAACGGCGCGTTAGGGCTAGTCAGTGCGTCGGCCCAGCAGCCTCGCTTTTGCTTTCTCTCTCTACGCCGCCTTCGTCGACGGCTTTCGGGTATGGTGATCCACGGGGAGTTGGGTGCTGTGTGAGTTAAGGAATTCTGCTGTAACACTCTGCTCGCGGCAGGCACCGATCTTAAGAAGATTGTGTCGGTTGTAGAATTTGTTCGCCCAACAGGGTGTGGAACGAACTAGGATCAACACACACATACACAAAACAAAACTCTGAGGAAGAGAGCACCGAGCCGCTACAACTGTGTGCACTTGAATTACTTGAATTAGAAAAACTAATTCAAGTATTTTTATAGCGGAATACCTATGACTATCTACCCTTAAAAAGCCACAAATTAAAAAGCTTTTGGCTGTGCTTGTGAAAGCATGAGAAATCTGGCAACCTGTTTGACTCCACTTTCCCTTTAGAGGGATGTATTATCTTAGACAGGGGCGCC